GGCAATAGTGACCTCATATCAAAGAAAGGAGCTGGGCCAATGCAGGACTAAGAAGGGAGCTCAGACTTCTGCCTGACCTTTAGCCTATGAAGAGCTGGAAGTTAGAGAACAATTTTTAGAAGCTGGTGATATCCTGTGACTTCTACTACCCATGGAGGTAAGAAGTGAGTGATTCTGCTTCACCTTGAGTTGACAGAGGGAGACCATGAGAACCAGGGAACAAAAGGAAAGTTATAAGGAGCCGGCCAAAGGGAGTGCATCATTCAAGGTAAGGGAATGACAGTTTGACCCAGTTATTCCACTTCTGGGAATACCGGTATATTCTAAGAAACTCAAAACACTAATCAGAAAGACTATCTGCACCCCTGTGTTCATAGCAGCACAATTACAATAGCTAAGACCTGGAAACAGCCCAAATACCCATCAGCAGGTGAGTGGATAAAAAAGCTGTGACATTGCCGAAACCAGTTTGGCTCAGTGGATAGAGCGTCGGCTTGGGGACTGAAGGGTCCCAGGTTCGATTCCGGTCAGGGGCATGTACCTTGGTTGCGGGCATATCTCCAGTACGGGGTGTGCAAGAGGCAGCTGATCGATGATTCTCTCTCATTGATGTTTCTAACTCTCTGAACCTCTCTTCCGCTCTGTAAAAAAAAAAAAAAAAAAAAAAGCTGTGGCACACTTATGCCATGGAATACTATGCAGCAATAAAAAAGAATCTTACCCTCTGAGACAGCATGGAGGGACCTGGAGAATATCATGTAAGTAAAGTCATTCAGAGAAAGACAAATATCACATGATTTCACTCATATGTGGAATCTGATGAATAAAATAAACTGATGGAATGGAGTCAGAGACATGGAAGCATGGAACAGAGTGTGGAATCTCAGAGGGAAGATGGGGGAGATGGGTGGGTGGGAGGTAATCCACCAAAGACCTTGTATGCATGTATGCATAAGCCACAGACACAGACACAGACAATAGGGTATGAAAGCCTCTGGTGGAGGGCGGGGCTGGCCAATGGGGGTTAAAAGGGGGACACATGTAATGCTTCCAACAAAGATTTAAAAAAGCTAGCCCTAGCCGGTTTGGCTCAGTGGACAGAGTGTCAGGCTGTCAGGCCTGTGGATGAAAGGGTCCCGGTTTCCATTCTGGTCAAGGGCACATGTCTGCATTGTGGGCTAGACCCCCAGTAGGGGGCATGCAGGAGGCAGCCAATCAATGGTTCTCTTATCACTGATATTTCTCTCTCCCCCTCTCTGAAATCAATAAAAATATATTTTTAAAAGATTAAAAACAAACCAAGTAAGGGGATGGCAGGTAGGAGGACAAGAGAAGCGGATGGAGTTGGGGGATAAGGGCAGGCCTTCAGAAGCCCAAGTTCCAGTTTTAAACACACACCAGGCTCAGAGAGCCAGTTCACAACAGCACGGGTAAAGTATGAACTTTCCTCTCCCCATCTCACCTGTGTCTTAGCAACAAGGACAAATGAGGCGATAGTACAAGGTGGGGAAACATGGTCAAGGCCAAGCACCTGCTGCCTCTCCCCCAGCCCCCACTGCAGAGGCAAGGCTGGTAGCAGGCCCTGCTGGGGAAGGGCAGCCTCTCTCTAAATGCAGTTCAAAGGTTTTGTTGTTACACAGGAATGGACACCTCATCTGCCTAAGGGAGGACCTTCAGTATCAAAAGTGATGGGTGAAGCCTGGGACTTCCCTACATCCCATAAATGTTCTAGTTCTTTACTAGAACCTGAAAGATAGTTTAGGATTCTCAATGGAAGTGTACAAAAGCAGCCTGGCTGGTCTAGCTCAGTGGTTGAACATCACCTATGAACCAGATCAGGTTTGATTCCTGGTCAAGGCACATGCCCAGGTTGTAGGCTTCATTCTGAGTGGGATGTGCTGGAGACAGCCAAGCAACAATTCTCATTATTGATGTTTTTATCTTTCTCCCTTCTCTAAAAATCAATTTTATATATATATATATATATATATATATATATATATATATATATATGTATAAAAGTAGTTGATCTGAGAGTCAAACATGTGAAAGAGGAGGAAGCCTAGTGTTTTAAAACACAGGTTTTTGGTTTTGTTTGTTTTTGAGAAAAGGTGATACCAGCTCACAGAGCAACATCAGCATTTCAGCAAACAGTGGTAAGTGCTGAGGTGGAGGGAGGTGAACGATGAATGGCAGAGGCAGCCACTTCCCTGAATTGCAGGACCCACCCAAGAGCTGTACCTTGGAGGGTGAAGTTCATGCCTGATGGCAATCGGAACAGGGTTGCATTAGGTCAGTAGGTATGCATAAGGGCTGGGAAGCAACAGAACTTTCTAGAGTAATATGATCTTGAAAGAGGTGGAGGTAGGTTGACAGGTATTCAAATTTGTCACTTAAGTGGTACATTTAGGATTTGTGAATTTCACTATATGCAAATCTTACTTATCTACCTTCCAAAAAAGGTAAACTAGCTAATGATATGGACATTAAAGTGTTTAAGAGTATGTATTAATCTGTAACTGACCTTTGAAAATACCAAGTAAAAAAGGGGGATGTCGGAATGTACAGTTATGTGATAGATATGGCAGGATATTAACTGGAGAATATATAATTATATTGTGTTTGAAATATTTCATAATCCTGGGAGCAGGCATACCCTTGTATAGTCAAATGTACTCAGAAACCCAGAAGCCATGCCAGGATATGGTCAGTTTATGACGTTAGTAGATACTGTATTCCTGGACATGTTCTACTTTTAAAAAATACATTTTTATTTATTTTAGAGAGGAGGAGGAGAGAGGGAGAGATAGAAAGAAACATCAATGATAAGAATCACTGATTGGCTGCCTCCTGCATGTCCCCCTATTGGGGATCAAGCCCAAACTTGGACACGTGCCCTTGACCAGAATCTAAACCCGGACCCTCAGGCCGCAGGCCGAGGCTCCATCCACTGAGCCAAACCGGCTAGGGCCACATTCTAACCTTCAGTACAGAAATACTTCGGTTGCTGCAAGTGTTGTATCATTACTTAGACTTTTTAAAACACGCATTTTTACATCTTAAGATGAATCCAGGCGTCCTACACGCTGCATGACAAACGGAAAAGCCTCCGGGCCTCCTGTGTGAAATCCCACTCCCCAGGGGCTGGGAGGTGGAGCATCGTTATGGTCGTGAGCCATCTGTTTTTCCCCAAAGTCAGACTGAGCCTACACTTTTCCCAGGACCTCCAGGGAGTTTCAGGATGGGGAACTTTAAGGCAAACAAGAGGGAGGGACTCCTAGTAAGGGAGTAAGAGAGCCAGGTCCCCAAATCCTTGCTCAGGAGCCAGACCACCTCCTTCTCAAGGGACAGAAGCCTTCCCCTCCTCTAGAGACCTGACCTCCTTACCCACCATCAGGTCTTCCCTCATGATTCTTCTAGGAGAAACTCAAGCCCGAAGGACTGGGAACCTGACTTGGATCCTAACCACCCACGGCCTCTGACAACAAAGGGAAGACACTGGTTGCCATACCTCACTTGTAAAACGGGATCTGGTCATTACAGACCCAGGGCCAATTTGCTCCCGTCCTGCTCCCCCCGCTGCAGGGCTGCTTCGAGTCCGCAGGGGCAGGACACACACGCAGACGCTTCCTAGGGAATGTTCTGCTTGAAGATTTGGGGGAAATTACTTAAAAGGTTTATTTCTATATTAAGACAAACATGGATATTTTATGGAATGGAAAACTCTTATGATCATTCATAAAAATAGGAGATTTGAAGAAATTCGCAGAGCCCTTATAAACTACATCCCTAGCCGAAACCGGTTTGGCTCAATGGATAGAGCGTTGGCCTGGGGACTGAAAGGTCCCGGGTTTGATTCCGGTCAAGGGCATGTACCTTGGTTGCGGGCATATCCCCAGTAGGGAGTGTGCAAGAGGCAGCTGATCGATGACTCTCTCTCATCGATGTTTCTAACTCTCTATCTCCCTTCCTCTCTGTACAAAATCAATAAAATATATATTTAAAAAAATTAAAAAATAAAAATTAAAAAAATAAACTACATCCCTATGTTCCAAGGGTACATGTTTTACTTCCCTGATACTGTTTCTGAAAACTTCACTGAAAATTTAGAAAATATTTTGTCAGATGGAAGAACTCACACCATAGATGAGGTTACTTGTGGGGAAAGAGAGGACAAGGAAGGGGGATTTCAAGATTCGCACTAAAGAGTTTTAAATCGTATCCCTCTGTGACAAGAAACAAGACAAAAAGAAAGACCTAATTCAAATTAATTCATGTGGTTAAAATACGAGTGGTGCCTGGAGTCACAGGGTAGCACCTGTGACTAGCTCACTCAGGTGAATGGGACCACCCAGAATTTCTTGGGAAGGCAGTTCAGAAGAACAGAACTTTCGGAGTCAAATACCTGTGCTCCCTCTCTGTGAGACCTTGGCCAAGGCATTCTCTAGACCCCAATTTCCTCGTTTTTAAGATGGCTTTGAGATCCTGTCTGTGGGGTATTGTGAGGATGTGGTATATAACCCACTAGGTATATTCTGGGCTCTCGACACATATTACTTCTTTCCTTTCCCCAAGGCAGTATAACAGAAAAAAAATCTTTCCAAACAATCGTGGTGGGAGCCTGCCCAGAGTGGCTTATTTGGGTTGTGGGTTTGATCCCATCAGGGAGCATCTGTAAGGCCACCAATCAAACACGATTTATTTATTTCTCTCCCCCATCCTCTCCCTAAGTATGCCCTTGGGTAAGGATTAAACAAACCAACCCCAAAGACAATGGTGGGAGTGATAAATGATAAAAGGGGTGGCTAGGGACCCAGAAACGAGGGCACCAATTATAAACCAGGTTCAGCTCAGCAGGTATGGCCACAGGGGCAGTGAGGAGCAAGCCTCTCGGGCTGTGGGAGGCCAGACCGGCAGCAGGGCTCCCTCAGCCTCCGACCACATGATGGCCCAGGAAGAGGGAGGCCTCCCCGCCTGGTATTTAAAGAAACACAACCGGGCACGCTTCAGTTATTTTTAGTTAAAGAAAAGCAGCCTTTTCCAAGGGCAACAAAGTGAACTGAACGTCAGGAGGAAGCAGGGTGTGGGCCTCTCACAAGCTCTTGTTTTTGGAGTGAGGGAGAGGCCTCCGGGGAGTCAGGGTGCCGGCCAGCAGAGGGGTGCCTGGGGGCGGGCGGCGGGCGCTGCGGCCACACCGGTCCCTGGGTCGGTCGGTCCGGTCCCTGGGTCGGTCGGTCCAGTCACTGGGTCGGTCGGTCCGGTCACTGGGTCGGTCGGTCGGTCCACAGGGGCTCGGAGGTGGCTTCCACCTGCCAGCTGGTTGACATGATTAACACTCTGATTCTTGGGGGCATTAAATTAAGGAGTGATGCGTGGAGCTGAGAGAGAGTGGCTTATTCAGTTGGATTCTGAATCACAATCAGGAAGTAGTCTTTATCTACAAAAGAAGAAAAAAGAAAACACAAATTACTTAATGTTAAACGTGAGGAAAAAAACACTAGAAAGGAAATGGATGATTAACCACCGGCCATAGAAGGCAGTGGGTGAATACACGTCCAGCTGCCGGGCAGCAGAAGGTGGGGCAGGTTTCCTGTGGGGGCGCCGGCGGGAGACCCGGCAGCGACCCTGAGCGCATGCTCTTCTCTAACCTGCCTGGTGCCAACGGGGAGGGAGGACACCATCCCTGTTTTGTGGGTGAGGAGACTCAGGTTCGGAGAGTTTGAGTAAATTGCCAGTGGTTCTCAAAACGGAGGGCACCCGAGTGACCTGAGGGCCGGTCAAACAAACACTGCCAAGCCCTACCCCAGGCTCTTTGGATTCAGTCAGTCGGAGGGAGAGCCCAACAACCTCCTTTTTTTAAGTTAATCCTCACCCGAGGGAATTTTTTCCACTGATTTTCTGAAAGAGTGAAGGGAAGCGAGAGGGGGAAGAGGAAAAGAGAGAGAAACAGTCATGTGAGAGAGACACATGGATTGGTTGCCTCCTGCATGCAACCTAACTGGGGCCGAGAATCAAACCTGCAACCCAGGTCCATGCCTATTACAGGAAACCAAGCCCATGGCCCTTTGGTGCCCGGACCAATGCTCTAACCACTGCCCCTGGGCGAGAACCCGTATTTTTAATGAATTCCTAGGTGACACTGGAGCTGCAGGTTCTGCTGTTTAAGGTCACCCAGCAAATCAGTGTCAAAGAGAGACGCCAACTCCAACCCCACTTCTCTGGGGTGGATGTGAGTCTGTCACAGGCTGAGGACGTTTCAAAGGCACCGATCAGAGGGGGCCAAAGCTCTGCGGGTCCCACCCCGAAATGAGGAATGTCCATTATGGAATCATTGCAAGTTCAAGGCCTCAGGGCTGAGTCTGACTGCTCCTCGTTTTTATAGAAGAAATTGGAGAGGCAGTGTTTCAACTTTGCCCTTAATTATCTTCCATGTGGCCAGTCCTGGCCAACCACTTCTTATATTGGCATCTCAATGAATCCTCACTCACTCTGTGAGGCAGGAACTAGTGCTTTCTCATTTCATACTGCGGCTCAGAGAGTTAAATATCTTGCTCAAGCCCAGGCGAAAATGTGAGGTGTGGTGGTTGGGTCTGACCGCCCTGCTGAACAGAAGCGAAACGGCCGGACCACGGGCCCACATGCTTCGTGTCCGCTGGTGTAAGCCCAAAGCTCCTGATTCCCAGGATGGCTAGCTGATGGGACTGGGAAGAAGCAGATTTTTACATGACTAATAGTTTCATGACTAAGCAATCTGTTTAAGTAAACAACCACTTACTAATAAAAACAATGAAAGCCACCGATATACTAGTGTCCTTTCTTCCAAAAAAAAAGCTCTAATTCAATAATATCACTCCAAGTGCTTTAAGGGAAGCAGAGTTTTAAAGTTTGATTATGCTGTCAACTCAGCTTTACATCAGGGAGGTTAACAAGTGGAAACCAAGTCTGTCTGAAAACATCTCTTCATGTGGGCTATTTTCTGGGCCAGATGGGGTGAAATTTGGTACGAATGCGGAGACCCACACTGTCTCACACCACCTGCTGCTACTTTTGGTCTCTCAGTTTGGTCAATGAGGAAGCTTAGGTGGGAGGAAAGGGACATGAACCTCCTTCCTGGGCAGGGCTGCTCCGGGCTGCTCCCACAAGATGGGTGCTAATTACAGACCAGGAAGGACCCGCCTTGAAAACGCACAGCAGCCAGGCTGCTCTGTGCCGGGCGCTGCCCCATGGGGCCTGTGCTCATGGCCATCGAAGGTGATCCAGCCCTAATGTCTCAGAGGCTCTGCTCAGTGGCTCCTGGCAGTATTTTTTTCTTGCCCTAGCAAAGTGGTTGTATCAATATGTCAAATCACAGGTTTTCATCCTAAATAGCGTGTCCCTCGGACATCTCTGATCCCCATCTCCACTGCTGACCCACCTCCAACCCCACAGTGGGATGTAGCCATGGAGGGAAGTTTAGGAAGTCTTTCATTTATTTATTCAACAAATATTTGTCAAATGTCTTCACAAGTTTCTGTACTCTGGAAACTGTCTAGTGGCGACAGAATTAAAAATGCAGATAAGGGGGCTGGTCAGCCAAGTGGGAAGGTAGGACGGCAGTGCCGCCAGCAGCAGGACGGCTGAGTGAGGCCCGGGGAGAGGCTCTGAGGCAGCGGGTGGCTGGAGAAGCGGTCAGGGTGCTCAGAAGGAACACTCACTGTATTTAAGGCAACCGGGAAAAGTCACTCATCTGGCCAGTATAACGACGTGTGTGTGGGCCCAGGAGGATGTGAGCAAGTGAGAGCATGCATACCCTCCCTGCAGGCTCTATGTCACCGGGCCACTTCCTCCTGCCTCCACTGACAAGGCTGAGGGGATGTGGGGCCTGTGCGCCAAAGGGAAGCTCTAACGGACTCCAGCACTCACTGCACCCCTGTGCTCTGAAAGTCCGGGTCCCTCAGGGCAGGCTGTAGATGCCTTCGCTGCTGAGACGGGGAGAGTGGCTCGGAGCTTTCAGATAACTCTGCTCCAGAGGAGCCGTTCTTGGAAGCTTCCTGTCCATGGGGCCTGGCTGATTTAGAGATGGCGCCATTTGTACTTGCCTCACGCTGAGAGTCCCATGTATACTGCTCAATGTGCAGGATCAGTAAGGAACCATTCCCAGCCTAATTTTCAGGGAAGTAGAGGTATCTATAGTCGCACAGCATGAACCTTGGGAGAAATTCCATCTGCTTCTGAGCCTTTCTGTCCACCCCCCGCCAACATACTCAACCAGATGGGGTGTCTCAGAGGACCAGAGCAGCACAGCCCCCTAAGTGACACTTTACCGATGTGAAAACAGAGGTTCAGAATGTTCTCTGACTTGTCTAAGGTCACAATCATTAAGAGCTAAAGTTGGGAAAATGAACTCTTGCCGGCTACAATCTGTTTGTTTTCTCTGACAGAATCAGAGACAGTGATTGAACTGATAAACAGTGTACAGCATCTTATCCTTTATTCCTTTCTGGGGTAGACCTACTTTGTCCCCACCCCTTCAGGAAGTGTCCCAGGGGGATTGTGGTTCCTGTGACTGGCTCTCTGGTTCCCTCCTTCACATCCTTCCAAGATGCCAGACTGGGCTGGAACAGGCCTGGGATCAGAACCAATATGGCTCTGCTGCTGCGAGTGGGTGACACCCTCTAATCACCCCAGAATTCTATAGCCACTCTCTTTGCCATCTGTCTGCCAAACCAGGGCATCCAGTGCCCCTAGCCTCCACAGCCTTCTTCATCTAGGTCCCAGTCCCAGTCACATTGCCTCCTGCTCACAGGGTCAAGTTTTGCATTTGAGGCCTTTTTTAAATTGGATCAAACATCTCACCTCCCACTCCTCCAGACATATATTCTGGTGCCTAGACAAACTGCCCCACAGCCCACCTGCCTCATCAGGTGCACAATCAGCTCATGCACACAGCAATGTGGCTCAGCCAGAAAACAGAGGGAGAGCGAGAAGTAGCAATGCAAAAATAGTCCTGGCCCTAACCAGTCTGGCTCAGTGGTTAGAGAGTCGGCCCACAGACTGAAGGATTGGGGATTCTATTTCAGTCAAGGGCACGTGCCTCAGTTGCAGGCTCAATCCCTGGTGCAGGTCAAGGGAAATGTGAGAGGCATGTATCTCTCATACTGATGTTTCTCTCTGTCTCTCCCCTTTCCTTCTGCTCTCTCTAAAAATCAATGGAAAGAGTACCTTCAGGAGAGGATTAACCACAACGGAAAGTCCTGGAGAAGCTGTCCACCACTCCTGTCTGAGTGCGGAGTGAGGTGAGGCAGGACGGTGCCCCTGCTCTTCCCTCCTGCAGTCCCCGGCCGAGGGATCCGCCCAGGATGAGCATCTCACCACCCTGAGAATGACCCTATGCTGTGTGCACCACACAACCCCAAATGCAAGCCAAGCACTTCACGTGGAACAGAAACAGCGACTGGTTCCAACGCTGGAGGAAAAGCTGGCTGTATGAGGCCCAGAGACAGAACTATCCTTTAGAAGTGGATAAGTGAACATTTTTTCAAACATAAAAGCCTATACAGCATGTTTGCCTTTTGCTTTGGAATGCTTATGTGTCTTTTTCTTTCAATCCTAGGTTTCTCGCCCATCCACCTGGCTTACACTGTTCCATACCCTCGAGAGTCAGCTGAACTGGGAAGTCCCTGCTGACTGTGCCAAGCAGCTAGTCACACCCGTCTGTTCCCAAGCGCTCGCATGTCCCGTCAAGGTGAGGGTTACACTGTGTCATGCTTACGTGTCTATCTCCCCCAGGAGCCCAGGGTTCCCCTCCTAGGCCCGGAACCAGGAGAAGGTCTGACCCACCGTCACTGCAAATGAGTATTTGTCGGGGATGCCGGCCAGAGAATGGACAGGCAGCGAGGCAACCAACTGTGCACCTTCAACTCCTCAGGCTTTTCTGTGGAGCCTGAGGAGACACCAACGTGCTAAGCCTTCCTGATGAGCAGTAGTGATAGTCTGATCCTAAGAGGGGACACGGAAGACCTCTTACCTGGTGCAACCATAATTTCATTTTTCTTAGAGCGAATCCGAAGGAAAGTCAGGTCATTCTGGGGGTCAATTTCACGCACGGTGCTCCGGGCCTTCAAGATGAAGTTGTGCATGAGGTTGGCGTACTGTGTGGTGGTGGGGTTGTCCATGGTGCTCTTAATGGGAATGCCTGTGTGAAGGGCAGACAGAGACTGAGCGGACTTTGAGGCCTTTCTGTCCAGTTCCCAACCCCACACCCTAGTTCTAGCGTCCTGGACTGGCAGCTAACAATCAATGCCACTGAACTGAAAGCTTGGCAGGCAGTGCTGAGCACTTCCCTCAAAGTCCCAGAACCACTCTGGGGGTGGTGTCAGCATCTTCACTTGCCAATGAGGCAAAAGCAACTCTGAGCAGTGAGGTGACCTGCTATGGTCACACAGCAGAGAAGCGGGGGCCGGGCCTGCTGGCTCTACTGCTGGGCTCCATGGTCCTAACTAGTTTCTGGCAATCAGAAGACCATCATTCAGAGCACTTAGAATCTGAACAAGGAGGACAGCACTTACATAACTTGAAACACAAATGAGTAGGAAAAGGTCAGCTTCTGCCAAGACATAACCATCAGTAGTGTGTTGTTCCTATGCCCCCCAAGAGGGGCCTAGTGCACACACAGTCTGTACACGTGAAAATTAAAGCCCATTTCTTTGTCCGCGTACACCTTGTAAAGAGCATTGTTACTGCTTCCAAAGAGACCACAAAATGGTCATTTCTCTGAATTCAGCATGCCTCTACTAAGACTGGGTTTTTACTTAATTACTGTTCAATGAACACCATTGTCCTTTAAGCCTTTTCTGTTTTAAATACTGTTTCCTTGTGATGAACTATTCCATGGATCTCCCTCACAGGCAGTGCCCATTTTCATGGAGGTGCAGAATGGCCTCAGCTGGAGTGACCTCAGGCCGTGACTGGGTCCTCAGGTGCCTATGAGTCACTGACATGCCCACAGAAGCTCCGTCACTGAGGCTCCAGGCGCACACAGCTGGCAGATACGTGGAGGATTATGGCACAAGTGGCTCCTCACCCATAAGTGGCTGGATTTGGGACCCAGCCTAAAGATCAGCCAAAGGCAGTCACCCTCAGGCCTCTCCATGAGTGGCAGACCTGGCCCAGCCTCATCTTCTCAGGGCCAGGAGCACAAGGGGAGGCAGAAGATGACACAGTGGCAGAGAGGCAGCTGAGTCAGTGAGGCTGTTTGAGCCAAGTGAAATCATGGGAACAAGTTGTAGTGATCATTTTCCTTTAAGAGATAAGACAACTAGGTTACCAGGGGTGCTGTTGGGTCCTAGCTGGCAACCAGGTGCCCACCAGGGCCTTGCTTGATTCTGGACTTTTCTAAGAATCACAGTATGAGCAACTGGGGTGATAGGACTGAGTAGGAACTCTCAAATCTGATGACCTGAACTTATACACTGTGTTGTCCCATCATAGCAATGTGGCCTTAAACAAGTGGTTTATTCTATTCTATTTCCTCATTCGTAAAAGCATGTGCTTCAAAGTGCTGCTGTGGGGAGTAAATGTGGTTTAAGAATGTTTTGCAAGGGCACCTTCTCTCAGTTCCTCTGACTGGAACTTTCCTTTCTTCGCCTGTTCTCTCACAATTCCCACTGGCCCCTCAAGTCTCCACCTCCTGGTGGCTCCACCCACCCCAGATATGGTCAGTGCCCCATTCTGCCATCCCAGGACCACACCATTTTCCTTCGCAGCAGTTAGTTGAGTTTGACATCACACCTTTATGGAAGTGATCAATATGTTCATCCCTAGTCAGGACCAGGTCTGATTTGTTCGCTAGTGTCCTTAGAAACACTGCATTAAGAATTTATTGTTGCTGCCGAAACCGGTTTGGCTCAGTGGATAGAGCGTCGGTCTGCGGACTGAAGGGTCCTGGGTTCGATTCCGGTCAAGGGCATGTACATTGGTTGTGGGCACATCCCCGGTAGGGGGTGTGCAGGAGGCAGCTGGTCGATGTTTCTCTCTCATCGACATTTCTAGCTCTCTATCCCTCTCCCTTCCTCTCTCTGGAAAATCAATAAAATATATTAAAAAAAAAAAAGAATTTATTGTTGCTGAAAAATGAGAAGTCACACCAAGTGAGAGGATGTGTAAAGGAGACACAGATCTAACCACTTGTTGGCTCATTTTAAAACCTAAGAAAACATGAAGGTGTGGCAGTGGGGTAGAACTGGGGAGAATTTCAAATAAGGGAATCAGATCATAGAATGCCAGACTCTTAGGATGCCAGAGCTGGGGCTACTTCAAAGATACCTCAATGATTAGGCCGCTACCCCAAGCCACTGCCTTCACAGAGACTGCGCAGCCTGTGGAGCTGGCTGGTGCCAGGGAGGCACAACTCTAACCTGAGGCTCAGATCTGTCAGGCTGCATAGACCTAACCCGGCTCCATCAATCAACACCTACACTGACAAAACTTAACACAGGTCTTAAGCACAAGCTCAGGTGCTGGAGACACAGTGAGTGAACACGAGACAAACCCTGACCCCATGGAGCATGTACATTCAGTCGTTTATTCTGCCTGTGTAGGTAGCAGCCGAGGACAGTAGGGGATCTGGAGGTAGAAATGGAACGGAATGTTCCTGAAGTTCTTGCAAAGTCTGCCTAACCTCACACGTTTATAATGAAATATGTTTGTATTTGCTCAACATAGAAATGTCAAAAAGCAGTGGTAGGTGGTTGGTAAGTGACTGAAACAGGGTGTGTCATGAGTTCAGGGGCAAGAACAGTCTTTCTGGGCTGGTGGTCAGGGAAGGCAGCCCATGGGAAAGGCAGCTGAGCTGAACCATCCTTAGCTAGAAGCTTCCAAAGGACTTAAAGGCCCATGAGCAGTGAGTTCGGGGGACCCCAAAAACAGCGGGGTGACCTTGGGCAGGTCACCTCGCCTCTCTCGGCTTCAGGTCTTTTTGCCCCTTTAATCCTCACCCGACGATATTTTCCCTTTGATTTTTTTTTTTTTTTTTTTTTTTTTTTAAGAAAGAATGAAATGGAGGAGAGGGGGAGAAGAGAGAGAAATATCGATGTGAGAAAGGCATCGATTGGTTGCCTCTCAATTGGTCCATGGGCCCTGATGCTTTAATCACCGAGCCAAACCAGCTGGCGCTGCTTCGGTTTTCTCATCTGAAAAACGGGCAAACACCCTGACTTGCGGGGTCCCTGTGAGAAATGTGAATGAGAGTTCGAAGAGCGAGTTCTATGAATGGAACATAAAAAGAAACACACAGAATGATTTTAACATTTATACGGCACTTACTACATATCAGACACTATGCTAAAGAAGTCATATGATTATATTTTACTGATGAGAAACTGAAAGAGAGAGGTTAAGTGACTTGTTCAAGATTTCCAGATAAGTAGGTAGAGTCAGGATTTACATACAGGTTGTCTGGTTCCCCGTTCCATTTTTTTTTTTTTTTAATATATTTTATTGATTTTGTACAGAGAGGAAGGCAGAGAGATAGAGAGCTAGAAACATCGATGAGAGAGAGTCATCAATCAGCTGCCTCTTGCACACCCCCTACTGGGGATATGCCCGCAACCAAGGTACATGCCCTTGACCGGAATCGAACCCGGGTCCCTTCAGTCCCCAAGCCGACGTCTATCCATTGAGCCAAACAGGAACGGCCCTGTTCCATATTCTTAACCACTGTGCCATATTGTCACATTAGTACATAAAAAAGTGCTCATAAGTATCAAAAGATAAGCAGCTGGTGCTACACTTTCCTAATGAAAAACTCAACTTTTGGGCAGCTTTAAGGCAAGAATGCAGGCTTATGGTTTGCAAATATCAGTGAAGGCCTAGGGGGGTCCCAGCTGAGGAGTCATCTTCTGAGGCTCTTCCCTCCCATTTGGGGTCAAAATGTGCAGGCCCAGTGCTGGCCAGTGTGGCTCAGATGGCTGGAGTGCTGTCCTGTACACTGAGAGGATGTGGGTTCGATTCCCAATCGGGGCACACACCCTGATTGCGGATTAAATCCCCAGATGAGCACATGCAGGAGACAATGTTTGATGTTTCGCTCTCACATCAATGTGTCTCCCCCCCCCCTCCTTTTCTCTTTCTCTAAAATCAACGAAAGCATGTCCCTGAGAGGAGATTAAAAAAAAAAAGTCCAGTCACAGTAGACAGAAGACGGTCTCTCCCTGAGGGATACAGGAACAGCCTTTCAGGTCTCAGACCAACCGCGCCGTGCGGGGAGGGGAGGTCTGAAGAGAAGGGAAGCCCGGCCCGCCAGCGGATCGCAGCACCTAACCTGGGACCTGCTTTGGCCGCCCACCGTCCGGAGGGCTCCTAACCGGCTCCTCCTCTGAACCAATGACCACATGGTCTAATTAGAACTGACCAAGCTGGGGAGCATCCTGCCTAACTCTGGGCTGGCCATGGTCTACTTGGAAAACAACATTCTAACTGAGGACACGCCACCTCCACTCTGCCACCTTCATCCTGCTCTCCTGAAGCAGGCACTGTTGAGAATTCTGCCTTTCCAAAGCAAGGCCCAGCATGACAGTGCATACACCCGGGGGCCCTTTAGGAATAAATCAGAGAGGAAAGAATACACTGAACCACAGAACTGAGGGAGGCCAGCGGGTGGCCCTGAGCTGGAGACCTACAGCCACTCCCTGGTCCTGCACAGGAAGGAGAGGAAGAGCACAACTGCATTCAGACAGACTTGGGATGAACCGTGGCTCTGCAATGGCAGGCAAATCAACTGAATTTCTAGACTCAGTTTTCTCCGTTGCAAAATGGAGGCAAAAGGGCTGTTTTAAGGGAGAAATAAAACGGAATGTTTGTAAAGCACCACATGTAAGTGTGTGAGAAATGTCAGTCTCCCTCTTTGCCAGGTCTATAGCAGCTTGAGAAAATCGGTTATCTGTACTCTTCTAGTTGTGGAAAGAATGTTCCAGAAAAGAAGGGAAAAGCTACAGGCACCAAGAAGTTGACCAAGAGTACTACCTAGCCAAAAGCATGGCTTCATCTAGAAACAACATAAATGGATCATTAATAAACACTGTCCAGCATGGCTCAGTGGTTGAGGTGGCCAGTTTGATCCCCAGTTGGAGGCATGCAGGAAGCAACCCATCCATGTTTCTCTCTCATTGATGTTTCCATCCCTTTCTTCCTCTCTCTCTTAAATCAGTAAAATATGTATTAAAAAAAAAAAATTGTACTGGCAGTTAAAAAAAACTGTTTATGTAAAACATGAAGCAAAACACATAAACCTCATGAGTAAACATATGCAAAGGAGGAATAACTATAATTATGACCAAGAGAAAATGCACCTGAGCGAGGGTTGAAAAAAACATGGTATACTGAAAAAATATGACCTGTCAGGGCAGTGGATCTGAGTGAAATTTTCCTTTTTTAAAATTTAGAATTTCAATAATAGTGCTAGGACACTTGAGGTGTTAAAAAAAAAAAAAAGTGAAAATTCATGTACATGAAGGGGCTTAGTAAACAGCAAGTGGGCTATGCTGTGTCTGGGCTGTTTTCTGGGCCTGCCTGCACATGGTCGGAGCGGGGTGTACCTTCTGTGTTCACCACGATGATTCCCTGCACTCCCTTCTGGCTCTGAAGTCGCTTCAGTGTCTCCTCCACCTCTGCCTGCCAGATAGAACAAGATCAAGGTTAGGAAGGGCCAGGAAGGCTGGGTTAATTCATTCATACCCTTGACAGATGAGTCACACATTCGTCTTCCAACAACAAACAAGGAACACCTGGGCACGTGGCACTTCCTCAAAGCGCCCAGCTCTGTTTAGAGCGGTCCCCAAGCCACTCCCAGCGCCTAAATCACCTACTCACACCCCCAGGATGGGCAGGGCTCCTCTTGGCCCTTTGCCGACCAGGCACCATCCTCCCTCCTGCCTCAGCTATTTGGGAGCAGAATATAAACACCATTCCTGAGAGTACAGACACATCCGTGACTCATGGATCTGCTGTACCTGGCAGACAGGACGCCGACGGCCTGAGAAAACCCAAGCAGGGGTGTCTACAGGAAGGAGAAACCTGCTATTTGTAGCCCAAACAGCACAACTGAAAACATTCCAAGGAAACAAAACGACCCCATGAGGATAGACTCAGTGACTTAAAAACCCAGCATCGGAGACAGTGTGATGCCTGGCTCAGAGCCACAGGAATGTGCCTGGGCAGGGCCTCTTTAATCCTGATTCTCCAGAAACTAGTCAGGGGATGCTCTGGCACACAGAATCATTAACAGAGGGACCATCAGACATTTGGCTCCTCACCCTGCCATGCAAGGCATTCTCTATTAATATTCACATCTTTTAGCTTTTCCTCCACTCTCCATCTACATGGCACACCTCCTTGTGTCCATGCCTTTTTACCCTAACAAGGCCTCTTCTCTGCTGAGATCTGACAAATTCTTCTAGACCACCTGAACCCGTGGTCGGCAAACTGCGGCTCACGAGCCACATGCAGCTCTTTGGCCCCTTGAGTGTGGCTCTTCCACAAAATACCACGGCCTGGGCGAGTCTATTTTGAAGAAGTGGCGTTAGAAGAAGTTTAAGTTGAAAAAATTTGGCTCTCAAAAGGAATTTCAATCGTTGTACTGTTGATATTTGGCTCTGTTGACTAGTGAGTTTGCCAACCACTGACCTAAACCATTGCTCCCTCCAAAAGCCTTTATTGATCCCCAACTCAGTGGAGTCCGCTACTTCTGACTCTGCAAACTCTTAAACTGTACCTCTCTGCTGATGCATCAGGTATTTTATTACTGAAGAGTCCCTAGAATGGCGTGCAGAATAGGGACTCAATAAACAACTGCTCCACTGAAGTAGCCTAACTCCTCCGGTGGACGGGAACTGGCCTTGAAGTGTGTGTTTTCTGGAGGCCCCTTCAGACAGGTCCAGAGCTCCCCAAAGCCTGAGAGCGGGACCATGTTGGAAACAGCGGTGCCATTCTCCCATCAGAGTGGTTCCCACCCTCAGAAGCTAATGAGTAGGCCTGGGAGGAGGAGTTTCCAAACAGTGGATGGAAACAGCACAATGAATTGTCTTTCTAGTAGGTTCAAGGCTAACAACAATCCAGGCACTGCCATCCACGCCCCTCTGATGTAATACTCTCAAATGCTGGAGAGAAGGGCAAACGAATTCCTCCTACATAATGGCAAATAGTCTGTTGCCTCTAAAACCGGGAGCCTGTGTAAAAGGACGAGCTACATGAGAATAAAGTACAGCGGGTCATGTATGGATGAGATCATCGCTCACTCCACAAACTGTCTCTGAGCTCCTCCCATGCACTATTCTGGAGAAGAGTGGAAAGTACGATAGTAGTCAATACCACACAGTCCTCAGTCTGACCCGGTGACCTTCCTATAAATTCATTCTAAGGAATAATCCAGAAGAACACAGCAAGACGTTCGTGACATCAACATTAGCAAAAAAGCAGAAAGAGCTATGGCTGGTGTGGCTTAGTGGTCAAGGGCATGTGCAGAAGGCAACCAGTCGATATGCCTTCTCTCACCTCGATGTTTCTATCTCTCTCCCTCTCCTCCTTTCTCTCCCACTCTCTCTGAAAAGCAATGAAAAAAAATCCTCATGTGAGGATTAACAAAACAAAAAAATATTTTAAAAAAACACCAGAAAGCTGGAAGTACCCAATAATTAGGGAAAAGACAAAGTAAATTATGGAATATCTATTCATAGGAAATATACATTTACCAAAAAAGGAAGGACATGTAAGTATATGATGACCTATTCAGTACCTGATGCAGGTCAGATATTGGGATGAATATTTACAGACACTGACCCTTCCATAGTGAGTATGATCTCCACTTTACAATAAAGAAACTGAAGTTCAGAAAGAAGAGTTTTGCCCATGGACACATAGGTCAAGAGAAGAGGTGAGCATACCATTGACCACAACTGATGAGGACCTTGCCCTCCAGGAGCTCAGATTCAGGCAGAACTTTAATCAACAAGTGACCAGGAGTCCTGCAGCCAATGAGGCAGGAGAGCCCGGGCTGCCACCCTGGCTGGCAACAGTATGAAAACAAAGGCAGAGAAATGGGAACAAACGTGGCATGTTCAAGGAATAGCGATGATCAGTATTGCCAAGTTTCTTTGCTAATCTGACAGGCAAAAAACAAATAATAGAAAGTCAACCTTTCTTTAATTTTTAAGAATAGGCATATAGATTAATGGAACAGAACAGAGACCCCAGAAATTGACCCACGCCATTATGCTCAATTAATATTTGACAAAGGAGGCAAGAGCATGCAATGGAGTCAAGACAGTCTCTTCAATAAATGGTGTTGGGAAAATTAGAGAGATGCATGCAAAAAATGAAACTTGGCCAACAACTTATATCATACACAAGAATAAACTCAAGCTGAAACCGGTTTGGCTCAGTGGATAGAGCATCAGCCTGCGGACAGAAGGGTCCCGGGTTCGATTCCGGTCAAGGGCATGTACCTTGGTTGCGGGCACATCCCCAGTATGGGGCATGCAAGAGGCAGCTGATCGATGATTCTTTCTTATCGATGTTTCTAACTCTCTCTCTCTCTCCTTTCCTCTCTGTAAAAAATCAATAAAATATATTTAAAAAAAAAAGAGAATAAACTCAAAATGATAAAAGACTTAAGCATAAGTTGTGAAACCATAAAAATCCCGGAAGAAACCACAGGCTGCAAAATCTCAGACATCTCTTCTAGCAGTGTATTTATGGATACATCTCCTGGGGCAAAGGAAACAAAAGAAAAAATAAACAAATGGGACTGCATCAAAATAAAAAGTTTCTGCACAGCAAAAGAAACCATCAACAAAACGAAAAGGGAGCCCACTGTATGGAAGAACGTATTTGGCAATGATACATCCGATAAAGGGTTACTGTCCAAAATATAAAAGGAACTCATACAACTTAACAAAAGGAAGACAAACAATCCAATTAAAAAATGGGCAAAGGACCTAAATAGACACTTATGCAAAGTGGACATACAGATGGCCAGGAGCCATGTGAAAAAATGCTCAAAGTTATGAATCATCAGAGAGATGCAAATGAAAACGAGAGGTATCACCTCACCTGTCAGAATGGCTATCACAACAAATCAACGAACGACACGTGCTGGCGAGGACTGGAGAAAGGGACCCTCCTGCACGCTGCTGAGAATGCAGTCTAGTGCAGCCATTACGGGAAACAGTATGGAGTTTCCTTAGAAAATTAAATATGGAACTGCCATTTGACCCAGTGATCCCACTGCTATGAATATATCCCAAGAAACCTGAAAAATGAATCAGAAAGAATGGATGCACCCCTATGTTCATAGCAGCACAATTTACAATAGCTAAGATCTGGAAACAGCCCAAATGCCCACCAGGAGATGAGTGGATAAACAAGCTGTGGTACATTTATACCATGGAATGCTATGCAGCAGTAAAAAAGAAGAATCTCTCAGCCTTTGAGACGGCATGGAGCACATGTGTCAAACACAAGGCCCGCGGGCCAAATCCGTCCCGCCAGGCCTTGCAATGTGGCCCACATCGCGCTGTCATCACTGCACTCCGCTGCGTTTCCATCACAATGACAGTTTATGACTGTTCAGTAAACCATTCGGCCCGCGATTTAGGCTGGATTTTAGATTTTGGCCCCTTCTCTGATTGAGTTCGACACCCCTAGCATGGAGGAACCTCAGAGTATCATGCTAAGCGAAATAAGTCAGTCAGAGAAAGTATCACATGATTTCTCTCATATGTGGAATCTAAGTAACAAAATAAACTGATGAACAGAGTGGATCTAGAGACATGGAGTCATGGAATGGAGTGTGAAATCTCAGAGAGAAGGCAGGGAGGGTGGGTGGGAAGTAATCAAACAAGAATATTGTATGCATATATGCATGCACCCTGAACAGGAATCGAACCTGAAACCTTTTGGTTCACAGGACAATTCTCAACTATCTGTCCACCCTAGCTGGGCAAAAATTTGAATTTTTATAAAACCAAAATGAATCAAAAGGATAGAAAAACATCTGCATCAAATAATGGACAAAAGAGCAATTCCAAAACATAACACAAGCCTAGCAGGTGTGGTTCAGTGTTGAGCATGGACTCATATACCAGGAGGTTACCAGTTCGAATCCCAGTCAGGGCACACACCCAGGTCAGGTTACGTGTGGGAGGCAACCCATCTATGTTTCTCTCTCATATCAATGCTTCTCTCTCTCCCTTCTACTCTCTAAAATCAATAATTAAGTAAATAAATAAAAAGTAAGATAAATTACAAGCACATAGAAAAATGTTCAACTGTTCCCTATAAATAAAGAAGTGAAAAATTATAGCAATGCTAAGGTAACTTTTTTTTCACTGTTTGCAATGTTATGGCAAAATTGGTACAAAAGCAATTAGACCCTCTGGAAAAGCTATGGGATAACACTATTGTAACAATCATAAAGGGTTGGTCCTTTTGCCTCGGAATTTCCTTTCCTGAGACTTTTGTTTAAGGAAATAATCTAATAATTAAAAAAATAATAAAACAAAATCTACACAACTATAGGCATTTATCACAGCATTATCTCTACTAATGACACTAGGGGAATGGTTTGGCAAATTATAGTACAGCTATTTCACTGATTACACTGCACACAAAAATTCATCGCAAAGATGATGCAAAAAGATTAAAACAAATGAAAAAGAAAAGTTAGTATGTACATCTTGAAAAATATGCATATATGAGCAAGGAGGAAGAACAACATAGAGATGAAAATAGTTGTGTGGTGGAGTAAAACTGGTGAGAATTATGGATGATCATTTTTCTAAAGGGCAACTTGGCAGATTCTACCAAAACGTAGACTATGCATGCCAGAAGTACCACTCCTAAGACTCTGTGCTACATAAACACTATCATGAGTGTAATAAAATAAAATGGGCAGGATTAGTTATAGCAGCATTGACTGAAGTGAAAAACTGTAAACCACCTAAATGTACATGTAGCAATAGAATACTATGCAAGAACAAAGTAGTCTTTTTCCTTTGGCCTCTTGCTACAGAGAGAGCAAGATGGGTCACCAGCACCACTACAGGAGCCTTCTGAGGAAATTCAGCCAGGGTTCTCATTCTTGCCACATCTGCTCAAACCACCATGGTCTGACCTGGAAATATGGCCTCAACATGTGCCACCAGGACATAGATTTCATTAAGTTGGACTAAATGAACTTCCATGAATGGGTCATTCAAGACATCTATCTTAAGACAAAACGTTCTCTTTGTACATAAAAATTTTTTAAAAATCTTCAAAAAGAAAAAAAGAATATAGATTTATATACAGTGATATAGAAAAGTGTTTATATTTAAAAAATATTTTTATTATTATTTTAGAGAGAGAAAGGGAGAGGGAGAGAAACATCGATGTGAGAGGGTAACATCTATCAGCTGTCATCCGCATGCCCCCTACTAGGGATTGAGCCTGCAACCAGGGCATATGCCCAGACTGGGAATCAAACCAGTAAACTTTCCATGCATAGGACCAGGCTTAACCAACTGGGCTACACTACAAGGGTGACATGGGAAAATGTTTGACATTTTAAAAATATATTTTTTATTGATTTTTTACAGAGAGGAGGGGAGAGGGATAGTCAGAAACATCGATGAAAGAGAATCAATCAGCTGCCTCCTGCACCCCCCCCCCCCCCCCCACTGGGGATGTGCCCGCAACCAAGGCAAGTGCCCTTGACCAGACTCAAACCCGGAACCCTTTGGTCCTCAGACCTACGCTCTTCCCACTGAGCCAAACCGGCTAGGGCTAGGCTTTAAATTTTTAAGTGAGAGTTTTGAACAGTAGTAGTCACATGGCTTAACATTTAAAAGGTCTTTTCAAATTTTGTGAGTTTTTTTTTTTTAACAAGTTGGATTAAAAACATGAAAAACAAACCTATAAAGGCGCAGGGAGCCCAGTTCCAGCCAGCAAGGCAGGGATCCCCGGTGGTCCCCGCCCTTTTCTGATTCAAGCACCAAGTCCCGGCGACGCGAAAGAACCACACGGACAGAAAGGCAGGAGTCAAGTTTCAAGGGTTCAAATCCAACTCCGCCATTTCCTGAGAGAAGGCACAAGGCTTCTCCAGGCTTCAGATTTCTGGTGTGTAAAGTGGGGATAATGGTCGTACCTATATTCACAGAGACTTGGCGAGGAGAAAAACCAAAACAAGGTACAGCGCCTGTCATAAACTAAGCTTCCGGGAAACGTTCTCGTTGTTACACTCGCGCGACCAGGCCCAGGATGCTGGGACGCACTGGCCTGCGGTCCGACGTCGTCCGACGCCGTCCGAGGCCCGGCTCCCGCTTCCGGTCTGCGGAACCCGGATCCTCTGGCCACTCCGGAGACCCCTCCGTCAGGGTCTGGAGGCCCACGCCTCTAGCGTTCCGCCCTCCAGCCAGCTAGGGCCCAAACCCCCCGATTTCCTGCCCGGCGCTCTGGGGCGCCCCCGGAGGGTCTAAAACCAGGCGCCAGGAGCGGGGAGGCATCGCTCGGCCACCTTCCGGCCGCCAGCCGCCGGTCTGTAAGAACACTCACCATCTCGGAACGATCGGGTAGCTTCGCGTCCTCAGCGCTGCCCAGCCCGGTGCGTTTCCGCGCCTGCGCAGAGCACCAAGTCAAAACAGACAGCTCTAGGGACCAATCAGGAGCCGGCGTGAGGGGGCGGGCAGCTCTCAGATGACCCAGGGCTCGTGGGAATTCGCCCTGCGCCCCCGGAAAGTGAAAAGCAGAGGAGCGCTGCAGCGCGGAGAATTCCCTACTCCCGCGGTGCCCTAAAGATGCCTGTTTGCATTGTCGGAAGAGGCTTTCAACTCTCACCCGAGGGCTGAGCTGGCTCCGAAAGCCCCGAGTGGAGGGTGGTGGGTGATGATGAAGGCGAGGAAGGAAGTAGCTGAGACGCTCCCCATCCTCTCTTTGTCATATTGAGGCAGAGTGAGGCGCGGAGCCCACACGCGCCGAAGATGCTGGAAAGCCGGCGTTGGGAGTGGAGTCAAGCGTCTCTGGGTTCTCCAGCGCGACCCCTTTGGAAATGTTACGTGCAGGCTCTGACATGAAGTTGTTAGGGCTAGCCTGGGAGTCGGCCAACTTAGGACTCCGAGCTCAGCCCCACCCATGTGACCTTGAAGAAACCACTTCACACCTATGCTCGCTACCTCCCTCCTTTTTGCACCTTTAAAAGTCCCCGCCCCCCATGCTGAAACCAGTTTGGCTCAGTGGATGGAGCTGCGGACTGAAGGGTCCTGGGTTCCATTTCGGTCAGGGGCAGGTACCTTGGTTGTGGGCACATCCCCAGTGGGGGGTGTGCAGGAGGCAGCTGATCGATCTTTCTAACTCTATCCCTCTCTCTTCCTCTCTGTAAAAAAAAAAAAAAGAAAGAAAAGAAAGAAAAATCAATGATATATTTTAAAAAACAAACAAAAAACCAAAGCCCTATGTTGTCCCTTTTTTCATTCTTGGGCTATCTACTCTCAAAGACCACAAACTGGATTTTCTAGCAGGAAATTGCCATTTAGTGAACCTAGTGCCCCGTTACTGGCCCGTGCTATCTCCAGTAGCCTCAGCATCACTTTTTACAAATGCTTTTTCTTGAGGCACTGGAGCTTGCTAAATTCAACACAGATGATCTAATTCCATTTTTTTTATTCTACTTTAGCCTCTGGGGAGGGATTTGGTGCTCCTTCCAAGGGTGTCTGTATTTACAATTGGAAGGATTGGATAGTGAGGACAGTAAGGCAACCTGGCCGACACCAACTGAGGATTATGGTTAACATTACTGGTGATGAGATATAGATTGATGTGTGCCCCGTTATCAGGCACTAAGGGCACTTCATTTCTGTAGTGTTTTTCACAAAAATCTATGACCTTAACTATGAAAACATCAAACCAAATTTGAGGGACATCATATAAAAAATCCGACAGTACTCTTCAAAAAATGTCAAGGTCATGAAAGACAAGAATGAGGAAGTCACAGATTGGAGGATTCTGAGAAAAATGTCATTGGTGGAAAAAGTGGTGAAATCTGATTAAGGCTGTATCATAGTTTAGTGTCGTCATTAGTTTTGATAACTGTTCCAAGTTATACAGGATGTTAGCATTCGGTAAAGCTGTGTAAAGTGTGTGCAGGAGCTGAAACTGGTTTGGCTCAGTGGATAGAGCGTCGGCCTGCGGACTGAAAGGTCCCAGGTTTGATTCCGGTCAAGGGCATGTACCTTGGTTGCGGGCACATCCCTGGTAGGGGTTGTGCAGGAGGCAGCTGGTCGATGTTTCTATAATAGCTCTCTATCCTTCTCCCTTCTTCTCTGTAAAAAATCAGTAAAATATATATATTTAAAATAATAAAGTGTGTGCAGGAACTCTGTACTACATGCAACAGCTCTGTTCTCTAAGGGTTGCAGACTGGACCTCAAAACATCCTAGAAAATAAAGCACACAAGGGTTCGTCACCATCTTACATATATGGAGAACCAGGCTCAGGGGTGAAAGGATTTAATGAGATCACAATCACAGAAGCAAAACAAACTGGCCAATTCACAGGTCTGGAGCCAGAATGAGAGGGAAGGAGGAGTTAAGAGAGAGTTGTTGGCTCTGAGTGGCAGGTGGAGTACTGGAGTTTATTCTGTGGTAGTGGGGGAATCACTAAGATTTTAAGCACAGAAGAAGCATGAGACTGAGGTCTCCCACAGACCATTCTTAGGCAGCACAGAGGGACTAGGAGGGAGAGAATGGAAGCGATGACAGGTTGCTACACTGAACCAGGGTAGGAGTAAGGATGTGGGCTGTGGCAATGGAGGCAGCTCTAAGAGAAATGACCCAAGTTTTGGAGGCTGACCCGGTAGGATTTGAAAACCAATTAGATGGAACAACTGAATGAGTTATAGAAGACTCCAAGAATTGCAGTTTGTGAGTAGCCATACAGCAAAAACATTTAACCATGCAATCTTTGGAATCAGGTCTGGATTTTTTTGCCCTCTTGCCTCTTAATAGCGGTGGACACTTGAAGTTAATGACTGAGTATTCTCTTATCTGTAAAACATAGGTGATTATCCCTCTCTGAGAATGAGTAGGATGACTAAATGGCTGCATGCAGCAAGCATATCTATGTTTGGGACATAGAAGTAAGTGTTGACAGTTGTCCTGAGACTAAGTGAATAGAGGCATGGTATTGATTGCTAGGACAGGGAAGACAAATAAAAAGCAGGTCTGAATCAGAAACGAAGAAAAATAACAGGATGGCTGTTTTCAGTGACCTACAGGTATGACTGCGAACCCCCAACATCCTTACCTGTGGGATGCCTCGAGGAAATCCTCTTGCCCACAGCATCTTTGCTTAATGGGAACCTGTTGCTAAGAGACTAACACCGTCTGAGATCTCTACTGAAGATCCTCCTCTCCTTGCCAACCGCAGAAATTCCTTTGAATCCCACCCCCAAATATCCTGTCCACGAAGAAGCCCTAAAGACACATAGGAATTGACAAGTGAAATGGGTTAGGAGTGACAGCAGTATCTGTTCTGGTGTTATACAATCTGACACTTCCTAAAAGTTAGGAAAATAGCCAGTCAACATAGCTGAGTCCCAGATTGATTCTTTGTAGGATTTAGGGCTGGTGATCCAATGGTCAGTAAGAGCAATTATTTCCCCAAAGATTTCCTCATGCTGTGGAGAACACCTCTTCTCCTTTTTAAAAAGAAATCTATTTTTATTGATTTTTTACAGAGAGGGAGAGGGATAGTTAGAAACATCGATGAAAATCATCTGCTGCCTCCTGCACACCTCCCACTGGGAATGTGCCGGCAACCCAGATACATGCCCTTAACTGAAATCGAACCTGGGACTCTTGAGTCTGCAGGCTGATGCTCCATCCACTGAGCCAAACCGGTTTCGGCACCTCTTCTCCTTTTTTATTAGTCACACTGAAGCTAGAGTTTTCTAGCTGCTTATATTGGATTAAACAGGAGAGTGTCCTCAGAACCTGCCATTTCTGTCCTCCAGTCAGATCAGCATATTCAGAAATTCCACATCCTTACCTGTAGGATGCCTTGAGGAAACACTCTTGCCTTAGCCTCTCCCCTGGTTCTATTTTAATTTTTATAGTTTTAGTCTGCACGGAGGATGTTTTTACTAATTTTAGAGGAAGGGAGAGAAACATTGCTTTGAGAAAGAAACGTTGAATGGCTGCCTCCTGCATGCACCGGCACTGGAGATGGAACCCAAAACACTTTGGTGCCCGGGACAATGCTCCAACCGATTCTATTTTAAGCAAGAGGTTGATCACCTCGTTTCCCCCATAGACCATAAGAAAAGGTCTATTGAAGCTAATGAGGACAGCTTATTGAGAACAGTTTTTAAAAAAATATTTTTATTCATTCAGAGAGGAAGGGAGATATAGAAACACCAATGATGAGAATCATCGACTGGCTGCCTCCTTCATACCTTCTACGGGGTATGTGCCCTGACCGGGAATCAATGAGAATCAAACTGTGACTCCCTGGTTTATAAGTCGACGCTCACCCACTGAACCACACTGGCTAATCAAAGAACAGCCAGTCTTGATAACTAGCTGGTGTTTCTCTACTTAGCACCATGGCTGGGGTCCTGACTTAAGTTTTCATCTTGGTTGTCTTCACAATAGGTACCAAATCCACTATCACCTCAGTGGGTCTTTATAGTCTCGTGTTTTTTTCCTACCTACTCCACAGGACAGACAGGCTGAAACCGGGCCACTTACAAAAACAGTCAGAAACCTGTAAGATCTGGTCTTTCATGCAGGTAGGGAGAACCTTCTTGCTCAAGACTAACAGAAAAATGTGCAAGTTAAAGACCAAAAATCTTTAATTATAAAGTTACATCTTTTAAGGAAATGCAAGTGAGGCAGCCCCCTGAAGGGCCTTCATTAAGAGCACTTGACTCTCTGTGATATCTGTAGAGTTACCTGAGTATTTGAAATTACAGTTCAAGGAAAAAAAAAAAAGAAAAAAAAAGGAATGCCAATACAGTTATATACAATCCAGTGGTGCTTTTCGTTTTTAGTTAATGAAAGCATAGCATATATACAAATAATTTTGTGAATAATTCTAAAAGGAAAACAAAACAACAAAAAAGGGGGGGCTGGAGATACCAACAATATTTAATAGAAGTAGTTAACCTTAGAAGTCTTGAAGGATGGAGTTACATCCAAACCAATGAAGGATATAAATACAGTGAAGTCTAATTCCACGAGGCAATAAAAAGGGGCAGAATGGGCTTGACTGAAATAGCTTATTTAGCATGAGACCTTGGTGGGAGGTGAGTCATATTTCACTTAAATTTCTATGACTTGACATTAGTATGTCAATCTTGGTGAAAAATTAGTACCTCAATCTTAAATAGAGTTATTGTAAGTCTTATAAAATTAATTCTTCTGCACGATATGAGATCATAAAGACAGAGTAGGAATTCATTATTATGAGTGGCTAGATCAGTTTTAAAGCACTCTATTTGATTAAACAAGTGAGGTCCTTCCCTACTGCTTAGGCTGTGAAATGCTGCTTCCCCCAACCTCCCAAAAGAGCAGAAGAATAAGGCAATTTGCTCATTTTACTTTGTTTTTATTTCAACATAACATGCAGTAAAAAAAAAAAAAAAAAAAAAAAATTAACAATTTATTGGCATTTACAATGCTCACAAAGAAAAAGAACTCTAAAAGCAATTTAGTTCAGATTTAAGAAATTGCTCTAAATTAAACACTTACAATAAATCTATTTCCAAATGTTCAGTTTATTCCAAACTTTAAGATGTATTTGGACATATTTGTGTCTGCTATTTGCAGTATTTTTTTTTTTTTTAATAAAACCTCTTATTCTTGGGATATCCAGCCCCCATTTTCCTAACACAGCAGGGAAGACATATACATGTGGCCATTTAAATTAAAGGAAGAAATGGAGTAAGGGAGATCTCAGGTTGCAAAAATATATACAAGCATTTACCTTTTCCAGAACTAAATGTTTTCTCCATAAAAATATTAAATAGCCAAGCCCTATAGAACTAGGGCCGGGACTACTTAAAATATAACTATTCTGTATTTTAAAAATATAGGGCAGAAAGCCTTTTGGGTGATATTTATACATTTTCACACAAATTTCTAGGTCCCTAAATGAATAATCAAGCATTATGTAGAATCGGAAAAGTCTACTTTCTTACATTATCTCTTAATTTAATCTCATAAATCTCTAGTAAATCTTGCAGGTAACTACATTTCAATATGAGAATTCATCTCTATGGGAAGTCTTTATAGAGGCTTAATTAATTTTCATAGCCATATATTAACAAAGTTCAGGCTTATGTAATGGAAGGGTAGTTGGCAGACATTCGCTCTGTAAGACAAAGCAATAGCATTTTACCCCCTACCAACAAAAAGGCAGAGAGTCTTGACTCTGAGGGAAAAAAACCTAGGGGTCTAGAGACCATACTACATACATTTCCTGGCATATGTGGAGTAAGAAACAAAATAAATGTAGGGTTGGGGAAAGCCTGATCTCCCCCTTCATACCGACAATTTCTGAATGAGGCAATCCTTTCACTCACATAAAATCTGCTTCAGGATGGCAGTGTTTCAGAGTACAGATACATGAGTTTAAAATGCTTTTGTTACTGTTCTAGGATGTAAAAGGAAGAGTGAGACTTTTGATTCTCACATACATAATTAAGGAAAAAATCTAGTGGAATAAGACAAGTCAGATTTCAATGATGTGTTAAATATCTTGTTAAGGTTTTGACTAGTCATTTGCAGATCTGATTTCTGGAAATGTTGAATAAAAGTCCAGAATCACTGGTAAATAAATCTCAATGATAACATTAATTTACTTATACTCAGATAACTCTCTAAACAGTCACAGTCCAATTTTACAACAAGATGTGCAACAAGCAGAGAAGGAAAAGGACAAACATTGCAAGTAAGTTCTTGTCCTTCCGTGGTGCAAACTCCCAGAAGTTACTCTTGTCCAAATCCTTCTGTTTCTTCAATGGCAAATAACAGCTTTTCCTTCAGTTGCTCATAGCTCTTATAGGGTGGTAGGTCCAGGCGGTTAAAACTAAAAGAATTGTTTATGAGAAAAAAATTATACAAAGAAACGAATGGGCAGTGTAGTATATAACAAAATTGGTTTTTAAAGTCAGGCAAAACTGGTTTAATCTGGATCTATCCCTGGGCCTTTGAATAAGTGCTATTGCACTTTTGAGTCTTGGTTTCCACTTTGGAAAAATAGGAAAAACAGTATTTATCTATCAGGTTAGAATGAAGAAGAAACAAGCATATACACAGCACAGTGCCTGGTGCTCAGCAGGTATTCAGTAAAACGCTGGCCTTCTCATGCTCCCCCACCTACCCTAATCTAGACCAGTGGTCAGCAAACTTTTTTCTGTACTACATAGTACACATTTTAGGCTTTGTAGGCCATAGGTCTCTTATCAAAAGGCTTTAAATTAAAAAAAAAAAAAGGTTTTAATTTACCACTGGAAGAAATAATGTTCTGCTCTAAAATCTTATACCCTGCTCCTATTGAATGAACACACCTCTGTCCTATTCTTAGCTGTTGAGTTTTTAAAGGGCATCTTCTAATTTTGGGCCGTATTATCATCACTTTCACAAGGTAACAAGTAGTGTAGCTGCTCTGAAGCCTTAGCCCTCTGCCATATTTTTAGGACAAGGCCTAAATATTTGGCAAAAGAAGAAATAATACTACCCACAAAGGAAAAATAAATTTACAATTATTACTTTTGTTAGTTCTTACAAATGGAAACATGTAACTTATAATGAGGCTGATTCTCATGTATGACTGAGATAAGATGTTCACAACAGTGTAATGGCACAGTCTGTTCTAGGTTTCAAAATAAAAAAGGGAAAGAAGTCAATTCAAAACACATGTACAAGATAAGTATACAAAAATAAATTGTATTTCTATACACTAGCAATAAAAAAAAATCTAAAATGAAAGTACAAAAACAATACCATTCATACTAGCTTCAAAAAAAAGGATAAAATATATGGTAGTTTGGTCAACGTGGCTCAGTGGTTGACCTGTAGGCCAGGAGGTCATGGTTCGATTCCTGGTCAGGATACATGCCTGGTTGCAGGCTTGGGTTGTGGGCTCAATCCTGTGTGGGGTATGCAGGAAGCAGCCAATCAGTGATTCTCTCTCATCACTGATGTTTCTCTCTCTCCCTCTCCCTTTTATTTACTGAAACCAATAAAAATAATAATATATATATTTTATATATATATATTGTACACACAAGTATATATATACTTATATATACAATATATATAGTATACACACACACACACACACACCTTTTTTAAAGAATAAAATAGTTAAGAAATTTAACAGGAGTAATGCAAGGCTTGTATAATAGAAAAATGTAAAACATTGTTGAAATAAATCAAAAAGACCTAAATAAATAGTCTTGAAAGATATTCCATCCATGTGCATTGATAAGAAGACAAAATATTGTTAAGATGGCAATATTCCCCCAAACTGATCTGTATCAAAATTCCAACTGACCTCTATGCTTAAATGGACAAGCTGATCCTAAAATTCACATGAAAATCCAAAGCATCCAGAATAGCTAAAACAATCTTGAAAATATTGAAAGACATATACTTCCTAAATTCAAAACTTACTACAAAGTTATAATAATCAAGACAATGTGGTACTGCCATTATGGATATACATATGGATCAATGGAAATAGAATTGAGAATCCAGAAATAAGCCAGTCTATTTATCGCCAATTTGATTTTCAACAAATGGGTCAAGTTGTTATTTTTTAATTAAATTAAAAAATTTTTTTTTATTGATTTCAGAGAGGAAGGGAGAGGGAGAGAGAGATAGAAACATCAATGATGGGAGAGAATCATCAATCGGCTGCCTCCTGCTTGCCCCACACTGGAGACCATGCCTGCAACCTGGGCATGTGCCTTTATTCGGACCAAACCCAGGACTCTTCAGCCCATTCAGTGAGCCAAACCAGCCAGGGCAAGTTGCTATTTTTTAAAAACCACACGTACACATATGTATATGAAAATGTAAAGGAACAAACAATAAAACAAAAAGGGCAGATGGGGAAAACACCAAAGTCCACATATAACCACAGAAATGTCCCACAAAATGAAGTCCAAGTACTGCTGAGCTTTAGGTCGAATTCCAACATATGAAGATTAGAGCTGGTTTTTAGTTTTGTACATTTTTCAAAATGTGGTAAAATGGCATTTATGAGAAAACATTTCTTATCATTATACTAGAAAGTAGCTCTCCCAACAGCTACCTAGAATTGATTTCTTCCTGTGCCGTCAAAGAAAAGTTAAAAAGTTTTCCAACTATCACATTTAAAAAACAACTCAGAGTTGGGAAAAGGGATTGACTAGAAATGGGCTAATTGGGGGTGATGAAAATACGTTAATACTGGATTTCAGTGATGGTTACTAGTCTGTAAATCTAAATATCATTAAATAAAATGGGTAAGTTTTTTTTTAGTAAATTATGCCTCAAAAAAGCTGTTAAGAATAATTCAATAGAATGGGGAAATATTTCATTTCTAATAGGCTTTAATATCTACAGAACAACTGGAAAAAGCTGTTTTCTCTACTTTTTCTGATTTTACTTACCAGGTATGACTTCTGGGTAACCAATTTTCTTTCCCAACTTTTTCAATGCAGAATTTTTGAGGTCCGTTGCTCCCTGAAACATAGTGAAACCATTAACAGTTTAATAATATAATAGTTCTCAAATTGTAATCCCCACTGTAGCAGCATCATTATCAGCATCACCAAAGAAACTGTTAGAATCATAAAACTACAATCCTTATCCCAAGTCTACTAAATTGAATAAAAAATTTGGGGGGAGAGGCTCAGAAATAAAGGATGTTCCAAAAAGATGTGCAAAAGTGCAAGAGTCCCCACCCCTGAATATTTTCTACTTGGTTGTCTGGCAATCACCTTAAACTCAGCAGACTAAGCAACTCCTTCCTAACACTTCCCAACCATGTTCTCTACATGCCACAGTTTCTCCATATTTTATAACATATTATCTTTGACATTCTTCTTATCTCATCTTTTAATTGAGTACAATTTCCACTTTTGGAACTTCTCTAGCATTTATCTTCTCTTTTCCATCTCTACTTTCATCTCCTAAGATCAGTTTTTCTTTCTTTCTTTTTTAATTTTTTAACTTTTTTTAAAATTTTATTTTATTGATTTTTGTACAGAGAGGAAGGGAGAGTGATAGAGTTAGAAACATCGATGAGAGAGAGTCATCAATCAGCTGCCTCTTGCACACCCCCCACCGGGGATATGCCCGCAACCAAGGTACATGCCCTTGACTGGAATCGAACCCGGGACCCTTCAGTCCCCAAGCCGACGCTCTATCCACTGAGCCAAACCGGTCTCGGCTAAGATGCTCCAATACTTTCTTCCTACCTCCAGGCTCTTTCCTATCTTTTTCTTTTTTAAAGAATAGTTTATTATTTTTAAAAAATATATTTTTATTGGTTTCAAAGAAAAGGGAAGAGGAAAAGAGAAATATCGATGAAAGAGAATTACTGATCAGTTGCCTGATGCACACTGCTTACTGGGGATTTAGCCCACCATTCTGATAGGGAATCGAGCCCGTGACCTCCTCCTAGTTCATAGGTTGACACTCAACCATTGATCCACACCAGCTAGGGCTCTACCTATCTTTTCATGCATGCTCTGCTTTTTCATCAAATCTTCCTAAAATGCAGTTTCAGCAAGTTTCCTCTCTTCAAAACGTTCCCATAACTTCCAATATCCTTAGAATAATGTCCAAACTTTTTTAGTCTGGCTTTTAAAGGCATTTAAACTGGTTCCACACTATACCCAAAATTTTGTAGTTCTTTTAATTCTGATCCTCTGCTTCAGCTGAAGGACACTCAGGAATCACAACTTCTCTTCTCTGCCCTGGTGGTACTTGACATAACATTGGTGTTAAAGGAAGGCTTGAATCTACTTTATTGTTTAGTTGCAAAATAAATATTCTCATGGTTATTCATTTCAAAACAACACAATCAGTGACTACTATGTGATAAGTACTGTGCTTGGTGCCAGCAATAAAAAGATGAATATATGGACCTGTATCTTTAGGAGTTCCAGGTATAACAGGGAAGAGTGGTAAACACATCATTAAAAATATAGTATAATACAAAAAAAAAAAAAATATATATATATATAGTATAATACAATCAACAGTGCCTGGCTCGTAGGAGACACAAAAATGTTTGCCAAATGACTGAATGAACAAACAGAGTTATAAACAGAAGATTGCTATCCTAAGTTAAAATGTGGGGTCTAGCTGAAGGGTTTAAAATTTCCAGGTAAGAATTACAAAATAATTCAAAAGTTTAGACAAATCCAAATACTACTGAGCAATAAATGCTTAAGAATAGTTATCAGCCAAAACCGGTTTGGCTCAGTGGATAGAGCGTCGGCCTGTGGACTGAAGGGTCCTGGGTTCGATTCCGGTCAGGGGCATGTGCGTTGGTTGCAGGCACATCCCGGTGGGGGCTGTGCGGGAGGCGGCTGGTCGATGTTTCTCTCTCATCGACGTTTCTAGCTCTTTATCCCCTCAATTCCTCTCTGTGTAAAATCAATAAAATATATTAAAAAAAAAAAAAAGTTTAGACAAATCCAGGTTAACTATGACTATTTAAGAAAATGGCCACGTTTATCTCTATTTCTGAATAGGTGAATACACAATGATGTAGCCGCAGTGCCATGATGTTTTCTATGGAAAAGGAATCTGTGTGCATACCCATGAGGTCAGCAAATCCTCCAACTGGTAATCGGCAGGTCCCAGTAACAAACTGTAGAAGTCTCATTCTCTTCTCATTATCGATTTCTTTAACAAACTGTTAAAGCACATTTAAAGAGAAATATAGGTCATATGTTTAACATAATACACAAGAAAAAAAAATATATTTTTAAATGTGTTATTGATTTTAGAAAGGAAGGGGGGGAGGGATAGAAATATCAACCAGTTGCCTCCTACATGCCCCTATTGGGGCTCAAGCTTGTAACCTGGGTATGTGCCCTGACTAGGAATCCCAAGAAAATTCTTAAATGAACTCCCAGTGTTCATTTAGGTATGACTCTCAATTCTTTTGAATATACCTAGGAGTAGAATAGAATGACGACGGTATCCACTGCTGTGGATGGAGGACCTTCTCTATGTTGGTCAAAGCCCCACTAGCCTTCCGCTCTGTGAATCTTAGGACCACATCCTTAGGGGAGACAGAGAAAGAGGCCCCCTGAGCCCAAGAGCTCCCTACTCGTGTCGTTTCAAGATCAGTTCTAGAACAGCATCTCCTTTCCTACCCACATCTGCCTGCCCTATAGGACATTCATTACATAGGACACAGAGCTTGAGGCAGTATAGATTTTTGAATTTATGAACAAATGAAATAAAAATCATAAGATTCTGATCCAGATTTACCCTAATAACCTCCTTTTCTCGATGTCTTTAAGTTTGAAGGTATAGTTAAGTGTTACCAGAATTATATGGCTTTTAACTCCTATATAATAACTCTGATTAAAAGCAGTAGGTTTCTGAAGGGTGCTTTCATCTTGTAGCACAGGTATTTTGGTTCAACCAAGTATTTTCTTGTAAAGAATAATTCTGATCTGCCTTGGCCTGTGTGGCTCAGTTGAACATTGTCCTGTGCACCAAAAGGTTGCTGGTTTGATCCCTGGTCAGGGTGCGCCAGGGAGGCAACTGAGAGATGTTTCTCACATCGATGTTTCTCTCTTCCCCTGTCCCTTGCTCTAAGAATCAATAAAAACATGTTCTTCAAAAAAGGATAGCTATCTTGTACTACTTATCAAGTGTTTTATAATCCAAATCCAGTGTTACAGAAGCTTAGTTCATCTACGTTTCTCATGACTAAGTGAATATCAGAAATTTAAACAAATATTAATTTTAATTTTTTTTTTATTGATTTTAGAGAGAGGAAGGGGAAGGAGAGACAGAGAGATAGAGAAACATTGATGTGAGAGTTAAACACTGCTTGGCTGCTTCTGATACATGCCCCAACGAGAGATTGAATCCACAACCTAGGCATACGGACGCCCTGACTAAGAATTGAACCTGGCGCCTTTCAGTGTATGAGACAACGCTCTAACCAACTGAGCAACACTGGCCAAGGCTGAAACATTTTTTTTATTGTGGTACAATATTTATTACAAATATTTACCATTTAAGCATACAATTCAATGGCATTAAGTACATTAACTCTGTTGTGTAATTATCATGTTTCCAGAACATTTTTTTTATCATCTCCCAAACAAAAACTCTGAATGCATTAAACTTATCTTCCCACTGCCTCACTTCCCCTCTCCCCAGCCTGATAACCTCTATTCTACTTCCTGTTTCTACGAATTTGCCTATTTTAGGTACCTCATATAAATGGAATCTTACAGTATTTGTCCTTTTGTGGCTGGCTTATTTCACTTAGCATAATATCCTCAAGGTTTATCCATGTTGTAGCCCATGTCAGATTTTTTTTTTTTTTTTTTTGTTAATCCTCACCTAAGGATATTTTTCCATTAATCTTTTTTAGAGAGTGGAAGATAGAGGAAAAGACAGAGAGAAACACTGATGTGAGAGAAACACATCAATTGGTTGCCTCCTGCTCACGCCCCAACCAGGGCCTGGGCTGGGGAAGAGCTTGCAACTGAGGTATGTGCCCTTTACTGGAATCAAACCCAGGACCCTTTATGCACTGAGCCAAACTGGTTAGGGCAGAATTTCCCCTTTTTTTTTTTTTTTTAAGGCTGAGTAATATTCCTTTGTATGTATATACCATAATTTGTTTACCATTCATCTGTTGATGGACACTTAGATTGCTCCCATCTCTTGGCTATTGTGAATAATACTGTTATGAACATCGGTATACAAGTATCTGAGTCCCTGCTCTCAATTCTTTTGAATATACCTAGGAGTAGAAATGCCAGATCACATGTTAATTTTTAAAAAAATTCCCCAACTGAGGATATGTCCATTGATTTGAGAGAGAAAAAAATGGGAGAAAGAGAAGGTTAAATAGAGAGACAAACGTCAATTAGCTGCCTTCCATATGTGCCCCAACTGGAGACTGAACCCGCAACCCAGGTATGTGCCCTGACTGGGAATCGAACCTGCCACCTTTTGGTATATGGGATGACACTTCAACCATGGCTGGATCATATATTAATCCTATGTTTAACTTTTTGAGAAACCACCAAACTTTGCCACAGTTGTGTACATTTCGTATTTGCAGCAGTAATGCAGAAAGTTCCAATTTCTCCACATCGTTACCAAGGATGATTGTTTTTTCTCTGTGATTTTGATTTGCACTTTTCTAATTATTAGTAATGTTGAAAATCTTTTTATGTGCTATAATCAACATTTTTTTGAAGAGACACCAGTATGATTCCAAACAAAGTCTCCTAAGTTTGCCTTCTAAACTTTATGTAATTTTTAATGAGGTATGAATGATGAAAACCATATTTTATAGACAGCTCTATCAAATTCCAAAGCATCTTATCTGGAGTTATACTCTGGGCAAAGGTGAAAGGTATGTATAGCTTACTTGGCAATGGTCTTAAAAGGATGGTGCTATAATCCATGTTCATTGATTATATTGCATAGGATGGAATGAGGGATCAGAATATACTGGTATATTTTTTTATGTAACTTATTTTCAAACACATTTCTAAAAAATTATGGTGTGTTTGTCAACAGAAATAAAGTGAGACAAACCTGCCAAAACCACATTATTTGTTTGCTTGTCCTAGTATAATGACGGTAGATGGTATGTCTTTGCCAGTCATTCAAATCAATCTCTTGCATTCCGCATAAAAGGACCTTTTGAAATGAAACAGACAAATGATTTCTATAGATAATTGTACATTTATCATAGATAAGACACAGATAAGAACAAATATTAAAAAAACAAACTAATCAAGAGGCTATGGATTGTAACCATGTATCAATAACTGTATCTATAATATTCTAAAAGGTTAAGTTTCAGATGTATCATATATGAACAGATTCAGGTAAATAAGCCACTCATTATAGAGAGGTTCTGATAGTAATACTTTTTTAGCTAATTCTTTTTATATGATTTTAAATATCTTGACTACATAAAAATATTGCCATTGGAAAGTGAGTTGAAAGCAGACAACTGAAGGCATTATTTATCAGCATGCTGCAAAGGAAAGAAGAAAAACTTATTACCTCTAACTCCTTTGCATCAAAGTATTGCAAATACTGCTGGGGAAGAATTTCATTAAAACCCTCAAAGAAAGCTTGTGTCTGTTCTTCAACACCTCGAGACAACCTCCATTCAGCTACCATTCTGTTAAATAAATATATTTTTTAAAAAGCTGTCAGCAAGTTTAGATGTTACGTTTAAATTCCGAGTAGAAATATAATTTTAAAAATTTTACTATTATGAAAACCTCCATATATAAAATATAATGAACCCCAAATATAGATATCCCAGATGCAATACAATGCCAATCTTATTTCATTATGCCACTACCCATACTCTAAATATAAATTCATTTTAAACAAATATTTTAGTATGTATCTCTACAAAACGAGGTCTCTTTCTAAAAAACATAACAAGATAGAAAAAAATTAGTAAAGAGATGAAGATTCTCAGCAGAGAATTAATTTCAGCTATGGTGCCATTATTATTTTTATTTTTATTTTATTTTTTAAATTTTATTTTATTGATTTTTTACAGAGGAAGAGACAGAGAGAGTTAGAAAAATCGATGAGAGAACCACTGATCAGCTGCCTCTTGCACACCCCCTACTGGGGATGTGCCCGCAACCAAGGTACATGCCCTTGACTGGAATCGAACCTGGGACCTTTCAGTCTGCAGGCCGATGCTCTATCCACTGAGACAATCCGGTTTTGGCTATGGTGCCATTTTTTAAATGGTCCGTGTGCATCATGGCAGCTCCTGCATTGAGCATCTGCCCCCTGTTATCAGTGAGAGTCATAGCTACCAGTTCGATGATGGACACTATATAGATAATCATTAGAGCACTCACTAAGAAAATTAGAGATATAGTTAACCAGAAAAGATTAAAAAAGGAAGAGTAAAAATTATACTATTAATTCAAAAGAAGGCAGAAAAGAAAGAATAAAGAAAATTGGGAAAAATAAGAAACAAATAGCAAAGTGGCAGACTTAAGTCTAATCATCAATAACAATATGTGATGTAAATGTACTGAGTGCATTTAAAAAAATGCAATTAAAAAGTAAAAATGATCAAACTGGATAAAAAATAGCAATACCAAGAAACATGCTGCTTATAATAAACAAATTTTAATTACAAAGACATGGGAGGAAGATATACCATGCAAATACTAATAAGAAAGCTGGCCTGGTTGGTGTGGCTCAGTGGTTGAGCACCAACCTATGAATCAGGAGGTCACTGTTCGATTCCTAGTTAGGGCACAGGCTCAACCCCCAATGGGGGGCATGCAGGAGCAGCTGATCAATGATTCTCTCTCATCAGTGATGTTTCTCTTTCTCCCTTCCTCTCTGAAATGTATAAAAAATATATTTTTTTAAAGTAAAAAAGAAAGCTGGAATGAACATAATAATATTTAAAGAGTAGAAAAGCAGGCAAGATACCCAGAAACTAGAACTCAAGAAGCACATATATGAAATCTAACCATGAATTGGTGTCAAGAATAAGTGAATGAACTTAAAACTCTTGAGACTAAAAGTCTGAACCAATGCAAAGAGGATATATTAAAAACCATCATTTTACTTATAAATTTTACCAGATCTTATAAATCCCCCATGAAAATATCTGCATATAAATTTGAGATGTTTATCAATGACATGTTACATGGCATAGTGAGTATGGAACTGGTATTTAAAAGAGTTATCTAGTACTACCTCTACCATTAAAATAACCACTTTTGGAGAAAAAGTAAAAGTTTTAATATAACCAAAATTATTTTCTATCACTTTATAAATTTCAAAATTCTGATTAAGTTAAAAATATACCAGCAAGGTGGTAAAAAACCCATTAGTATATCCGCTACACTAATTTTATGTAAGGTTTAGTTTGAATTACCTGTAGAATAGTCACTCTACCTTGCTGCCTCCACAAAAATCTGCCTAATTCTCTCATTTTCTTGTTGCCAGATTCGTTGAAGACGAAATTTAGACTGTCTACTAAATTTACTCCTAATTTCTTATAATCTGGTTTCCAGTCTACCACCTGGCTAACTGTTCTAAGTATTCTCTTAAAGGTTATCATAACTTACTAGCCTCCACATCTTCCAAAGATTCTTCATTTTCTTTGGCTTCTGAAATGCAGGACATGGCAGAATGGGATACCAACTCTGAGCTGCATGACAGTACCTCACAAACCATGGATATTCTTCCCTGATACTGTCTGTGATTTGTGCTTTCCAGCCTCCATCTCTTTGCTCATAACTTTTATTGATTTCTATACAACTGAAAGGCTCAAATGAAAAAATATCGACTACTTACTCCATGATTACAACTAGATGAAATGATGTCTCCCTCTTTTGACTTCCCATAGCACTTTTCTTGTTCCTCTCTCAATACTTATAAGGTTAAAAAAGTGATCATTCATGTTCTTAATAGATTAGTTTTCATGATTAGTTAAAAAGTAAAAAATTATTTTATGAAGTATTGTCCATTAGGATTACTAGGCAATTATCAATGTAGGGCTAAACTATGTCAAAAGGAACATTCTCTCTCACCTGATATATTCCTCTTTATTTTCTTCTGTTACAAGAATATTGCCACCATTGGGTTTCAAATCATGACTCTTGATTTCACCTAAAATTTCTTTATCGACGGAGAAGTACATTTCCAAACCACATTCCTCAATATTGTTTTCTCTGTACAAATGAAATTAACACTATTTGTTATACTAATCCAAATATGTAAAAAGGTTTTAACTAAAGGCCTATGGTGTTAAATAATTACTATTAAATTATAATGTCAAAATAACAAGAAAAATTAAAAATTACGCTCTCAAGTCATATTTTTTAAGATCCTGGGCATTATTTCTATAAAATTTATCATATTGAATAATGACAGATTTAATATAAACCATTTAAATTCAATAAACTAATTATATTTTTATTTTGTATACCATAAGTGTCTACAGACGCAAGCAGCAGAACTTTTTAAGTTAAATTCAAAATTTTGTGGCAGTTAACTGTGGCAGTTAAAGTTTAGATATCAACACTAATAAAAGTATATAGATTATATTTTGATAAAATAAATGGACACAAAACTTACTTAACCCAGATGAGAGAATTGTAAAATTCTGGATCAATAGATTCTAAGTCCTTGAGCCCAACTGGTTTGTTCAAGATACGCTTGTAGAATGGCAAGGAAAAACCTGTATCTATGAATTTCCCATGGAAAAGAGCCTATGAAAGAAACAAACAATTCCATTTAAGATAATTTTATGATATTCATTGTATTTCAGAATGCTAGGTGAGTTCGTCATTTAAAAAGGACTTGTTTTATGATTTCTTATGACATTTTTCTAGAAAAAGGGCAAATATAACAAACCCAATCTTAGAAATGTCTTAGTGATGAGAAAATTCCAAATGAGAAAGTTAATGAACAATGCTTTAGTGTTGCTGAATTAGCAAAGTACACACAGTTCTTCTCCTGTACTTACCATGGCAATAAATCTGCCAATAAAACGAAAATATTTCAGGTGATCTGGATTGATATAAGAAGCGGGGTTTATCTGCAAGCAGTAGTTATCCTTCCCTGCATATTCAAACAGGCAATACATTGGGTTCAACACTTCATGTGACAAAAGAAAGAACCATTCCCTGAAATAAAAAGAAAAATTTGGGTGAAAAATTGTGTAAGTAACTATGCTAACAAATCAAAGGGCAGTGCTACAAAGTTAGAAATTTACACTCTTCAGCTAGTGATAGTTTCCTAAACTACCATGTTGATTTTATTGCTTCTATTCACTCTGACAACTATTTTACAGAGATGATAATTTATACACTGCCTATTATATTTCCAAGAATTTAAGACACCATCACCTTTAAAACAACTACTAAAACTTTTCCCCCAATTATAATTGTGATACATATCCCAATTTCAGAGATGTTAAAATATGAAAATGTTAGTCTTAGGATCAATAAAATATCATATATAGCCAAGTTTAAACTTCACCAATTGACCCATGTGGGTAGAGCAGCTGAAGAGAATCTAACATTATTCTTTTGATTTCTGAGTTCCATAGTGATCCCCATCAAGTACCACTGCTCTCTAAATCCTAGACAAATATGAAAAACAATCCAATTTTACAGAGGCAATGAAACACTTAATTCAAGCCACTCATTCATTAGAAAGATGCCCTGAGAAACTCAAATGTAAATGCTGTGAAGATTAACCAATTGGTTAAGAAGATTAACCAATATTAACATAAGATTATTGGTACTAATTATGAAAGGTAGATGGGTCTGATGGAACAGTAGACAGAGCAGATCTGGGGTAATACAATTGATATAATCTTGTGTCTGAGGTTTCTTTTCTGTTAGTTTCATGGTAACTGCTTATACTTTAATGCTAGTTCATGCTCTAATTAAGAATAAAAAATGGCCCTCCTCCTAAATTATCTTTAACCCATACAAAATTAAATGTTTCTACTCATATTTTTTGTGGGTACTTCAAACACTCTGAAGTGTGATAAATAAAAAACTACTAAATTGTAACCATCAATTAGTGCGCACACTAGGTAATTTTACAGATAAAAATATTTGCCCCAGTTCACAGTAATAAGTGCAGAAAAAGGACTCAAATCCTGTCCTGATTCCAAAGTCCTTGCTTTTCCACAGTGCTACTGCTATGGAAATTTTTAACCTGATATGCTATATTGTAGGGAATAAGCAAAGCATTCTTGCTTCAGTCTACCTACTAGGATTTGACTGGAAGCTCCATTATTAAGAAAGCAGATTTAAACTCCAATTTTAGAGTCTTCTATTCTCAAAACAGATATATTAACCTGAGTCGGAGATTGAGTGACTATTATCTGTATCTGAAATCTGTGATGGGGAAAATGATCTGATCACTATAGGGTCTTTCATGCTTGTGGAACAGACATGAGATAGTATATGTATCACTGGCTTCTGGTTCTGATACAAAATTTGCACCCAAGCTTCACAACTTAAATATGTGCCTTAGGTGAGTCTCAACTTCATTATTACCTATAAAATTTTCTCTCACAGCGTTACTCTGAGGACTAAATGACCGATATGGGTGAAACCAACTGGTAATACCTCAGAATTACCTTCTGAATTAATGGTGTCGAAATTCTACAGCTGCAGCATAATAAAGGTACAATAATTTCCTACATTTCATTTTCCTGAAATATTAAGATTGAGAAAATAATACTTGCAAGCAAAGTGTAATGATACCTTTGGAGGAAAGGAACTAAGTTCTGAGTATTCATATTATCACTACCTTGCTACACCTCCATAATCTAAACCTTCTTCTCCTGGAAAAATCACCCACAAACGTCTTCGCAGATCTTGGGGACTGAAGCTCATTATCTACGAAACAATAAAGTAAAATAATTGCTAAAAGAATTGTTGAAACACCATTCTATCACCTCTAAGTTTGAAATCTCCTTCATTATAGGATACTTAAATTCCCCTTGACATAGAATTGTTTGTGCTCTAATCAACACCACACATAAACAAAATACATTCATGTTTCATATGTATTTATACATACTAATTTTCTTTTAAATCACCCTACTATTCACTTATAAAGTTGCTTCTCTCACTTGCTTAGAGCAGTTAACTGTCGGCCTGGTCAGAGGTGAAGAGCTTTTTAAGGTTCTGTATTGGTAAATTTGGATTTAGCAGCCAAAAGGTACACGTAATAGCTAACTGGCGAACTTGAAAATGAAAACCAGTGGCTGCAGAGAGGATCAAGTTTACTTTGGAAATACATTCTCAATAGAAACTTATAAATACCTAGAAAACTACTCAAATTTTGTGTCCCACTACAGTAGTTAATAAGATCATATTTATCTTTGAAGGACAGTACCATTATTGAGCTTTGGGTTCTTTCTCTGGAAAATTATTTAATTACCTGCCAAAAATGGGGCCTGTAGAACATTACAAATATTATTACTCTTAAAAGAAAAATGGCAGGGCTGGGAGAGAGAGAAGTTGACACAATGCCTCTATTTTATGAAATGATATGAATGAACACTCACATTTAAATTCCAAAGAGGCTCAGTAATTTGCTTATGCCAGGGCTTCTCTCAGTTCCCACAAAACAGATATATCACTTTTATAAATTCATATCTCACTCAAAAAAGAAAATTTTAGATGTAACAAAAAATGCAATGCTTATGCCATGTTTATGACCAATTATTCTATAAGTACCACAGGCTAGACATATAGCAATCAAAATAAAAGGTTAAAATTGCTCTCTCTGGCTATTCCTTGTCTTAATGGCTCCTCCCCAAACCCTAGGGCTATCACTGATATCTCTGGAGATTCACTGTTCCCTGGAAAAAATCTATTACCTAATAATAGACAAACATGTAAATTGACCATACCTCTGCTATGCCCACAGCCAATCAGAGTGAGTATACAAATGAACTCAACAAAGATGGCGGGTTAATTTGCATATGCAGGTGCGGAGCGGCTGGGAGGGGCAAGACGCCTGCTATGAGGGGGAGAGGGGATGGCGGAGAGAGCTACAGGAATGGTGATTTGGACAGAAGCGAGGACTTGCTAGCTCCCAGGCAGCTGGGAGTGAAGCGAGGGGAAGGAAGGCCTATTCTTGCATGAATATCGTGCAATGGGCCTCTAGTCTTTAAATATTATCCTTTAACAAAAGTTTAATATGAAGGGGAAAAATTTTATCCTTCAATTTTCCTCATAAGCAGTCATGCTATGTTAAAAAAGCACTTACTACCCAAAACAACTTTATCCAACAGTTATCAAAAGAAATCTGAAGCTAATTTTGCTGTCAAACTTGTCACATTTTCAAAGCAATCAATTTTTTTTCTCGTTTTAAATTTCATATTTAATTCAATAAATGTCAAATATAAGATGACAATTTTAAACAACTATTTTAGCACTATCTTGTCTGTCATTCTGCAAAAGCCTCTAGTTTCAGAAGCCAAAAGATAAAGGTACAATCATGTTTTGCTACTTTTCAGCATTGCTATAAGCAAGTTATGTTCTAAGAAAGTGGCCCACCAGAGTCTGCATACTCAGTGACACACAGTAGCTATTAATATAAAAATTAGAAAAAGGTAACAATTGGAGTAGTGAATGGCGTTGGAAACTCACATCAGATCAAGGGAATCACTATAATTCTTTAAATAGCCTTAGTCAGCTCTGCTGCTGAAAAGCTGTCTGCTCCTACTTAGCAGGATGCCAACTGGCTTTCCCCTTTCAATGTTAATAACTGAAGTTCCATTATGAAATCAAAATACCTATTTCTGAAAGGAAGTCAGATACTGTCAACTATCTCAGGCAATCTCTCTTTTTTTTTTTTTTTTTTTTCACTCAGTGTGGCATTGGAAGCTGTAACTATCACAATTATTATAGGGGCTTAATAATAAGACTCACATCCACATCATGAAACAGGGACTAACTGCATGTTTTCATATTAACACATTTTTTCAATGATCATTTAATCTTCCCTACAACAAAATCACTTAACATTTAGTTGCATTTGGATAGTAAAGTTGCAAAATAAATAATAAATTAACTCTGGTTCTTAAGACAACTAAAATAATTTGTTGCCCAGCTAGTGTGGCTCAGTGTTTGAATGTCAATCCAGGAACCACGAAGTCTCTGGTTCAATTCCAGGTCAGGGCACATGCCCAGGGTTGTGAGCTCCATTACCAGTAGGAGGCATGCAGGGGGTCTCTATCTTTCTATGCCCTCTCCCTTCTTCTCTCTCTCTCTAAAACAAATAAAATAAAAAATTTTATATATAATTGATGACTTCTGAAAAGATCTTTTTTTTAGATATTGGAACTAATGACCACTTTCCTATATAAAAATATTTTAATTATAGGAGTACCATGTTTATTGTAAAAATGCAAGAATTACAGAACTATAAAAACTATAGTCTTCCCAACTTCTTTTCTATCTGTCCAATATTCATATGGATATTTTCAGACTTTTGTCTATCAAAAGCCTATTTTCTTACTTAAGTATCTATATCAAATTAACCATTTAGCTTAAAAATACTAGTAGAAACCAGAAATTCACTAATCACTTTTAAGTTACTCTGATCTTTCAAAAGTACAAAACTATCTGAATGTTCCTAAATTTTAAGTAGTAAGGTAGCTAGCAATGAGATTAGACTTAAAAATTCAAGGACTCCAACTCAAAAAGTTCCAAACTGTTTAGATTAAATTGCCAACACCAAAAGATGGTTTGGGCTGGCAGCCAGGGGACAAACCATTGAGTGTGAATCAAACAGTACCTGCTGAAAGGAATCCTCAAACAATGTTTTTCTTGTCACTGTAATCTTTATGTGCTGTGGCATGGCCAGTTGCTGAAATATAAAAATGACTTAAGTCAACTCTCACCATTTAAAATGGCTTATCACAAAACCAAAAAGGATAAAGTTTTATTTAATTTTATTTTAGCTTACTAAAACAAGTAGACTCTGAATATGACTCTATATTCAATAATGTTTAACGATGCATTTGTGAGCCTTCATGCTAACTATATATCAGTTAATATATATAAAATACAGAGGAAAAACAAGATTTCATATGCACACAGCTTACTTACTGAGTCAAATCTTTAATTTTATTTTCCAAATACTAATTCAGATTATTCTTGTCTAGTTAATTATAAGTTTGAAGTTTAAAAATATTCATCATAGTTAACATTTTAAATAGTACATTAATTTTATTTAGAACCCATAATGAAATAATTTAGTAAATATTACATATCAGAAATATTTTATCTCATTTGAGAAAAATACTCTGGATATAACCATACATATGTATCTGTATCTATTAAAGTGATACACATATAATTATATCTAGCAAATGCTAGCTATGAAAGGAGACAGTTATAATTTATACATCAGAAAATTTTTTTTAATATATTTTTTATTGATTTTGTACAGAGAGGAAGGGAGAGAAATAGTTAGAAACATCGATGAGAGAGAGCCATTGATCAGCTGCCTCTTGCACACCCCCTACTGGGTATATGCCTGCAACCAAGGTACATGCCCTTGACCGGAATCGAACCTGGGACCCTCCAGTCCCCAAGCCGACGCTCTATCCATTGAGCCAAACCGGTTTCGGCCATCAGAAAATTTTTTAACTCATTTGAGGATTTCTGCAATCTGAATTAGTATTAGTACTGGAAAGAGAATAGCACTGTTTTCTTATTTGAATGGTTTCAAATTTATTATTGTGGACAAAAGAAGCCATAAATTATCTGACAGATCTATTTCTTTGCCTTAAAAATAGGAGAAAGAGCCCTAGCCAGTTCGGCCCACAGACTAAAGGGTCCTGGGTTCATTCTGGTCAAGGGCACATATTCAATATCTCAGCGTCAGGTTCGATTTCCTGCCTGCAGGGTGCGTGTAGGAAGCGACCAATTGATGTGTCTCTCACATAGATATTTCTCTCACTGTCTCTTCCCCTCCCTTCCACTCTCTGAAAAAATAAATAAATGAATGGAAAAAATATCCTCTGGTGAGAATTAAAAAATAAAAATAGGAAAAAGAGATTCTGATGTTTCCCATTTTACCTGCTTTGTTATGAGTTAATTATTTTCATAATCACTGATTGTAATATAAGCAACCAAAACAAAAGAAAGGGAGTATAGAAATATAGACCCAATACTAACCTGACACCAGAACCGGAAATACTGAAACTTTGCCTTAAAGTCCCGTACGTAGGCTATCTGGGGTCCATTGTCTCTGAGGAAAAATAGAAATATGACACATATAGCTGCTTGTAAGGAAAGCAAAATACCACACTCCCTCAGTATTCAGCAGTCAAATTCAAAACACACTAGTATAGCTTAATCCTACTACCACCCTTTAAAATTTTTATTTCCCAGGATAATTTTTAAGTAAAAGACACAAATTTTCATCTTTTGAAAGCCAATGTTATGGGATTTTCTCTTATATACAGCCAAATCGAACAGGAATAGGTAAACTAAGTCTATTCCTCATATCCATTCTCTCCTTTGTCCTTAAATCAGACTTTTAATATTTACCTGGACAGACTGCTACCTATGATAAAGACTACATTTCCCAGTGTGGCTGTGAGACTAACAATGATTAATGAGTTGTAAATGAAGTGTTGTGTAGGATTTCGAGGAAGGCTCTTTTAAAGAGAGCTGAGAGATGTGGAAAATATTTTTTTCTCTTTTCAATTTGTTCTTCTTATTCCAGCCTGCAGTATAATTATGACAGCTGAAGTCTCAACAGCTATCATAAACCATGAGGTAACTGAGGATACAGTTCAAAGTCTGAGATAGTAGAACAGAAAGAAAAAAGCCTAGATCACTGATGACATCATGGGGCTACTATAAAGCTCCCCCTGAAAGTCATGTTTCCCCTGGAATACTTTTATTTTGATTTAAAAAAAATATATTTTATTGATTTTTTACCGAGAGTAAAGGAGAGGAATAGAGAGCTAGAAACATCGATGAGAGAAATACATCGACCAGCTGCCTCCTGCATACCCCCTACTGGGGATGTGCCCGCAACCAAGGTACATGCCCCTGACCGGAATCGAATCTAGGATCCCTGAGTCCGCAGACTAATGCTCTATCCACTGAGCCAAACCGGTTTCGGCTCCTCTGGAATACTTTTAATTTCATTCTTTAAATGCTCAATATAGAAATACAATTAATTCTGTATAGTGACTTTGTATCAAACAATACTGTTACATTTACTTACTAATTCTAGAAGTGTTTTTTTCTAGAATCCTTATGATTTTCTATATACATAATTATCTGAGTGAAAAAAGGACAGTTTTACTTTTTCCCTTCCAATCTATTTTTTTTCTTTCTTTCTCTTATCTCACAGCACTACAAATACAATGTTGAATGAAAGTAGTGACAGAACATATTCTTGTCTTATTCTTGATCTTAAGTGTGATGTTGACTGTAGGTCTTTTATAAATATTATTTCTCAGGTAATAAAGTTTCCAAGGCAGCTGAGAGTTTATCATAAATTAGCATTGTATTTTGCCAAGTGCTTTCGTCAAATTATCATTATTTTTCTCTTTTAATCTATTAATGTGGTAAATTACACTGATTGATTTTTTTATTCTCATCTGAGAGAAAAAATTGTATGTAAAATCAATCTTGCATTCCTGGGATATATTCCACATGATGATAGTATAATATTCCTTTTCTATCTTACTAAATTTAACTTGCTGTTATTTTGTTAAAGATTGTTACACCTCTGTTTACATAAAGATTACTCAAAATATTTTTTAAAAATGTTTTTGTCTGATTTTGGTATCAGGGTTATAAAAACCATATAAAATGAGTTAGGAAATATTCCGATCTCTTATATTTTTATGACAGAATTTGAATAGGATTTTGTCACCCTCTCTAATCCGGGGCCCCTCGGACATCCCTCTCACACTGGCTCCTAACTGTTCCCCCTGCCAGCCTGATCACCCCTAACCACCTCTGCCTGCCTGCCTGATTGCCCCTAACTGCACCCACCTGCCAGCCTGGTTGCTCCCAACTGTCCCCCTCTGCTGGCCTGGTTGCCCCTCTGCTCCAAGCTGGCCTGGTCGCCCCTCACAGTCTGCTGTTCAGTCATACGTCCGGTTGTTTCAGTTGTGACGGCCCCTGACTTTTTATATATTAGAATTTTGATAAAATTTACCAGTGAAGCTATATGGTCAAGAATTTCCTTTTGGGGAAATTATTTAATTATGAATTCAATTTCTTTACCACATACATAGCTATTCAGATTTATTTCTTCTATGTTCATTTTGGTGACTTGTGTCTTTGAAGGAATTTGCCCATTTGATCTAAATGTTAACTTTATTGGCATAAAGTTGTTCAAAATATTATCTTATTATCTTTTCATGTCTATGGGATATAGTGATGTCTACTTTCTAATATATTAATTTCTCCTTTCTCTCTCCTGTTTACTAGGGGTTGTCAATATTATTCATCTTACTCAAAGATGCCATCGCTAGTTCTGTTTTCAATTCCGGGCAAGGGCACCGACCTTGGTTGTAGGTTCCTTCATGGCTCAGGCCCTTGTTGGGGCTCGTGCAGGAGGCAACTAATCAATGAGTTTCTCTCACACTGATATTTCTCTCTCTCTTTCCCTGTCTCTAAAAATCAATGGAAAAAATATCCTTGGGTGAGGATTTAAAAAAGAAAAACAAAATTGGAGGACTCACATTTCCTAATTTCAAAATTTAATACAAAGCAATAGTAATCAAAATAGTGTAGTATTGGACTAAAGATAAATATGCAGACAACAGAATTGAACGTCTAGAAATAAACCCTCACATATATGGTCAAATGATTTCGAGAAGGTTGCCAAAACTATTCAATGGGGGAAAGGACAGTCTTTTCAACAAATGGTGCTGGGATAACTGGATATCCATATGCAAAAAAAAAAAGAAACTAGACCCTTACCTCCATTGTAAAAATTAACTAAAAATCGACCCAGGACCTAAACATACGTGCTGAAGCTATACAACTCTTAGGCAACACATAGAGTGAAAGAAGATATTTGCAAATGGCATATCTGACAAGGTTTAGTGTCTAGAATACATAGAAAATTTCTAAAACTCAACAACAACAACAACAAAAAAAGCCAACTCTATTAAAAAATGGGCAAAGGAAAGAAAAAAAAGGCAAAGGACTTGAACAGATCTTTCTTCAAAGATATACAAATGCCAATAAGCACATGAAAAGATGTTCAACATCATGATTCATTAGAGAAAGAAAAATAAAAGCCACAATGAGGTACTACTTCATACTCATAGGATGGCATTATATCAAACAAACAAACAAACCAAAAAGAGCAGAAAACAACTGTTGGTGTCAATTGGAAAAATTAAAACCCATGTGCACTGCTGGTGAGATGTAAAATGGTGTACCTGCCATGGAAAATAGTATGGCAGTGACTCAAAAATCCCCACAAAATTAGCATTTGATCCAGCAACTTCACTTATCAGTATATGCACAAGCAAAGATTCGAACAGATATTTATACTTTCATGTTCATAGTAGCATTATTCACAATAGCCAAAAGGTGGAAACAACCCAAATGTCCATGAATAGATGTATAAACAAAAAGTGGTACATACATAGACAGAAATATTATTCAGCTTAAAAAGAAATTAAATTCTGATACAAGCTACAACATAAATAAATATTGGAGACATGATGCTAAGTGAAATAAACACCAAAGAACAAATTCTGTCTAACTCCATTTATCTGAGTAGTCAAATTCATAAAGACAGAAAGCAGAACAGTAGCTGGGGGAGGAGGACTGGAGAGTTATTGTTTAATGTGTATGTCCTTAATGCTATTAAACTGTACCCTTAAAATAGTAAACTTTGTTATATATGTTTTGGCATAATAATTTTTTAAAACTCTATATAAAACATATTACGCAAATGCACAAAACACTTTTCAAAAATGAAAAAGAAAAAGCTAAGGGAACTTTAAGTTAAAAATAATAGAAATAAAGAAAATAATCAGAAATCGGGGATTAATTGATGAGCAGTACTATATTGACAATTTCTAAATAGTCTCATTTATTGCTATGTGTAAAGATGGCAACAATATGAAAAGTTTATAGGAGAAAATATTCAAGAGGGTAATAGAAATACAAAATATCAATATTTAGTGAACACAAATCTATGGGCAGACAGTTCAAAAAATGGTAAGAACTGCATTCTTACTAATTCAGATCTTTTATCAATAGATCAAAATCTTGGGATCAGTTTTTCTTTTTAAAAATATTTTATTGATTTTTAACAGAGAGGATAAGAGAGGGATAGATAGATAGAAATATCTATCAGCCACCTCGTGCACACCCCTCACAGGGGATGTGCCCGTAACCAAGGTACATGCCCTTGACCAGAATCGACACTGGGACCCTTTAGTCCGCAGGCCAACGTTCCATCCACTGAGCCAAATTGGTTTTGGCGAGTTTTTATTTTAATTTTAATCTACAGTTTAGAAAACTCACAGGGCAGATTTTCCAGTGCGTGGATCTATATAGGTGGTTGTTCTCCTATTGTGGTCCACAAAATAAGGAATTCCATCCACTGTGAATCTCATTTCCCAGCCTTCAGGTAAGGGCTTTTCATTTAATTGACTAAAGAACATAAGGAAAAAAATATAAACGAACAAAAAATGTTAGAGTTGCTTGTTGGCAAATACAGAAATTAAAAATACACATAAATGCAGTAGGAATCCAGAAAACCATTTAGTCCAGTATACCTAGTTGTTTACTAGACCTGTTTACCTATGTCCTCTTTATCCTATAAGCATGCTAACATGCCAACATATCCATCAACCACCACTCAGCCTTCTCTTACTTATTTTAGTTGTATTTCCCCATCTTCATAATAACCCAGCTAAACACCCCATGGTAACCAAGTTGCCTATGCTGCCTTAGATGTCTTCATGTTTGATCCCCTGCACCACCCTTACTCTGGCTTTATTCATCCCTTAAACTTTACAACAGCCACCTAACTGGACTTTTTCCTGCCTCTAGTCTCACTCTGGTACTATACTCATTTATTTCATATTAGTGGCCCAGTGTACAAAATTAGAGGGGAGGGAGGAGGAGAAATGTCCCTCAGCCTGGCCTGCACCTTCTCCAATCTCGACATCCCTCTCACAATTTAGAGGACTGCTGGCTCCTAACCACTCACCTGCCTGCCTGCCAGCATGATTGCCTCTAACTGTTCCCCTGCTGGCTGATTGCCCCTAACCACCTCTGCCTTGGCCCTGCACCCAGGACCTGGGCTTCCCTTCCTCTGGCCAACCACAGGCACCCGGGACCAAGGCCAGCTTTGCCCAGGCCAGCTGCAGCTGCAGTGGACAGTGGGCAGGTGGCTTTGCCTGGGCCGTAGTCGCAGGCACTGGTGCCTGGGATAGGGTAGGCATCTTCTTCAGCTGACTGCAGCCCGGGACCGTGGGATGGCGGCTTCTCTATCTCCCAGGCTGCAGCAAGCCGCGGGCGCTGATGCCCGGGACCACTGTAGGTGGCTTCCCCTGGGCCTGGCTTTGTCAGGAAGGACATGCGGATGGTTGTCTGAAAGACATCCAGTCTAATTAGCATATTACTGTTACTTATGTATTAAAGTTCTATTCCTGCTAAGTCTAGAAGCAGCCTCAGAATCCTCTCACCATTCATGTTAAGTCTGATGCACAGTTGATCAGAATTAATACCTGAGGTGAAGCCTCTTACTGCAGCTGTATCTCAGAATGCCTGGCATCCTCTCCGCTTTCTGAGCCAGCTAATAATACATTACCTCAGTCATGCTGATTGAGGTCTTTTTCCCCCTTTCAGTTTCTAGTAGATTACCATTTACTGCCTAGAAAGCAAAATTGACTGTCTCCATGTAGATCGCAAAATAAGGTATTTTCTCATCAATAAAATTTCATTCTTTCAGCATTAGTAGCGTAATTTTGTCAACAACATATTGAGGTAGTAAGTTTATACAAATTGAGTGAATTATTGTTTCAGGTGCTGGACTGTGTCATACACAGATTTCATTTTATCTTTGCAACAACTCTATACAGTAGGTACTATTTAATTATACAGATGAGAACACTGAGGTATAGAGAGATAAGGTAACTTGTCCAGTAAAACCTGAAAGTGGCCGAGTGTCATTTCAAATCCATGAGCCAACCCCTTTAACCATCTTAAAGATGAATAAATTACATTAAAACCAAAGGTAATACATACTTTAAATTCATCACTCCTCAGTTATTTACTACACTTTACTGTTCTGACTCTTGACATTATTTATATCTTTTGGGTCTTTCTGGTGGAATATAATAGTGTTTCACTGCATGTTTCTCCTCAGCTCTGCATTTAGTGGTATCACATTAGCAGCTGAAATCAGCCATGGATGGAGAATTTATGCCAGAGAAATTGGCGATACTATAAATCAGGGTTTTGTTTTCTTTGATTGAGAGCCAGTTGTTAAACACTTACCAGCACAACACTAACCACACTGGTGGCGGCAGTCTCATCAGAATGTGTTATATTATGCAGATAAAAATCTATTTAAACAGACTTGATTTATTTTCAAAGATGGAAGAATTGTTCCTATCAATATTTTAGTTGGTTCATATCTTCACTGATTGTCATCACTGCAAAGTTTTCAGTCCCCATATGGATTGCTGGATACACTATGTCTTGCCCTGTCCCTGTTCCCTTTGTTACCTTAAGGTAGGGGTGTCGAACTCAATCAGAGAAGGGGCCAAAATCTAAAATCCAGCCTAAATCGTGGGCCGAATGGTTTACTGAACAGTCATAAACTGTCATTGTGATGGAAACGCAGCGGAGTGCAGTGATGACAGCGCGGTGCGGGCCACATTGCAAGGCCTGGCAGGACGGATTTGGCCCGCGGGCCTTGTGTTTGACACATGTGCCTTAAGGACTCCATTTACCGTATTTTTCAGACCATAAGACGCACTTTCCCCCCCCCCAGAAGTGGGGGGGAAAAGTCCCTGCGTCTTATGGTCCAAATATAGCCTACACATATACTTTTTAAAAAAAGTTTTTTACTTGCCCGGCTCTGTGTGGTCTCTGTGTGCTTGCCCGGCTCTAAAATGGTTCTAAATGCTGCTGTTTACTTTACAGGGTTGATTACATGTGTTTATGACTGTGATGTTGGGTTTTAATGCACAGAAAATATTTTAGGACACTATTTGTTTCAGAATCTTTTTTTCTTCATTTCCCTTCTCTAAAAACTGGTGCGTCTTATGGTCCGGAGCGTCTTATGGTCCGGAGCGTCTTATGGTCCGAAAAATACGGTATATGTTTAAGTACCAACCTGCTTAAAAATGTAAGGTTTTAACACTGCTCTCTGTTCCCTGTCCTTCAGATGAAAAGTGGAATTGGGCTGGGGCAGCAGAGAGAAATTCAGAAGGGGAGGAATATTGGAGTAATGACTGCAGTGAGCGAAGAGGGAACCTATGTCCTGGGCCACAGGCGCTGGTGCCCTGGACCACTGGGCTGACAGCTTCTCTGGGTGGCTGCAGCCTGGGACTCAAGGGTGGGTGGCTTCTACGTCTCTTCGGCCGAAGCCAGCTGTAGGCGCTGGCACCCGGACTGACTGGTGCCAGGACCACAGGGCAGGCCACTTCTCCATCTCCCACATCTCCATCTCCATCTGACTGGTGCCCGGGCAGCTTCTCCATCTCCTCCGAGGACCACGGGGCAGGTGGCTTCTCAGGCTGGCTGCGGCCTGGGACCTTGGGGAGGGTGGCTTCTCTGTCTCTGGGCCACAGCCAACAGGAGGGCAGGGACAGGGATCTAGAAGTGCTCCATGCATCTCCTGGTGACCGGCTGCACACACAGCCCCTCAGCCCTGCCCAGCCTGCTGAACTGTCGTTACTGTGACACAGTAACAGACAATTTGCCTATTACCCCCCCTTCTCTCTCTCCTCCCTCTCTCTCTGAGAGAGGGAGGAGAGAGAGAAGGGGGGGTAATAAGCAGGTTTTTTTTAAAATACTTAAATGTATTGGGGGGGTAATAAGCAGGGTTTTTTTTAAATACTTAAATGTATTGGCACAAGCTGGTGATTTTCCCTCTCTATTCTCTCAAGAAACCCACATCCATTATATTAAAATAGTTGAATTTTTTTCTTTTTATAAAATATGTGAGTAATGTTTAAGGCCTCTGGGGAAAGAATATGTAACTGATCTTTTTCATAACTGAATCAGAAACAGGGTACAATCTTTAAGTTATTTGTAAACCAGTAAACAAAAGTTCTTACCCTTGACTTCTGGGGTCTTCCCATTGTGTAATACGAGTGTTGTGATTGACAAAATACACTCTACCATTGCCATCCGTTCTCTTTTCTTAAACAAAATAAACAAACAAAGCAAAGCATTAGAGCTAGCATAGTCTCTTCTTCAAACTAATAAGAATTTGCCCATTTCTCATTATACTGTTGATTTTGTAGTTTTTAAATCACAACTTTAAAAGGTTTATTATTTCACTAATAAATTTACATACACTAAAGTTATAAAAATGTGATTACATTACAGAAGCTAAACAATTCACAATGTCCTGCTCAAAGAATCTTTCTGCTCAATCCAACTAACAACAGCATGATTAATTAGCCATTTAACTTTTTAGAGATGACTTCATTTATCCCTAACAGACCCATTGGGTAAGTGATTTTAGTTTAGTTTGAAAGAAACTCAAGACAGTGATTTGCCCAAAATCTCAGAATTAAATGGCAAGTGACAGGATGGAAACTCAGGCCTTCATTCAGACATTTCCCTCCAATACTATACAATTCCCAGTCAAGGCATAAGCCCAGGTTGCAAGCTTGATCGCCAGTAGGGGCTGTATAGGAGAAAGCCATTTGATGATTCTCTCATCACTGATATTTCTATCTCTCTCTCCCCTTCTCTCTCTGAAGTCAATAAAAATGTATTAAAAAACAAACAAAGAAAAGAACTCTTCCACCACCACATAAGAACTACTTAAGTTATATCCTGTATTTGTACAGTTATGTTGGATCTTTCTCCTGGTACCATATCTAAAGTTAAGACATTTTGAGAGTTATGTAAGTTAAATCATACAGATTTTTTTCACTAAGCATTATGGCCTTGAGGTCCATCAGATTGCTATATGTAATAATCCATTTCTTTTTATAGCTGAGCAAAATATTTTAAACTTTAAAAGAAAAAAAATAATTCTAAATACCAAAAAAATTTACTATAATAAAATAGTAAACTTAAAATTTTGGGGAAACTTAATGCCTTTTTGGCTAAATTAAACCAACACACCCCAAAATATTCCCAGATATTAATTCAAGCAAGAGCAAGATTTCATCCACAAATATTTGATTCTCAAAATGATTAAATTCAACGAAAAAATGTATGTAACTTACCCCATCCAGGTGGGAGGGGACCAAGAGGATCAAATTCTTTATTTTGTGATGTTGCAAACAAATCTTGATTCTAAAGAGAACAATAACAAAAAATGTGAAATATTGGACTTACACAACTTGAGAGGAAGCTTGTAAGTTCTGATATGCCTTTCCTGGCCTTATGCAACATTACACACTCTAATAGAGTTCACATCTTAGAGAAGTGTCTCATGATCATGGATAAATGCCAATACACTTTGGTGGGGAGGGAAAATATCTGTGCAAACAATATTTAATGTTTAAATTATTTGAAGTTCAAATATTACAAGTGCAAAATCCTCATTCCCTGCCACCATGACCACTCTTTTTCCTTCTTAGCTACAAATCAGTAAGTTAAAAAAATACTTGTGAGTAAGCAAAACAATTTATTCTTATATTATTTATTATTGTATTAACAACTGTAAATCATTTTTTGCCTGCACCTGTGTAAAAATCATTTATAAATAATAGTACTGCGCCAAAGCCGGTTTGGCTCAGTGGATAGAGCGTCAGCCTGCAGACTGAAGAGTCCCAGGTTCGATTCCGGTAGGGGGCATGTACCTTGGTTGTGGGCACATCCCCAGTAGGGGGCGTGCAAGAGGCAGCTGATCGATGACTCTCATAGATGTTTCTACTCTGTCTCTCTCCCTTCCTCTCTGTATAAAATAAATAAAATATATTAAAAAAAAATAATAATAATAGTACTGGGTCATCAGAGAAATGAAAAAAAAAATAGTATTTCTTTTTCTCTCTATAGAGTTGCATATTTTTAATATATACCGTGACAGGAGAAGCTGAGATGGTGGCATAGATAAACACCTAAACTGCTGCCTCGCAAACAATTTAAAAACTAAAACTAAAAGACAAAACAAACACCATTCAGAACCACAGGAAGGCTGGCTGAATAGAAATCCTATAACTAGAAGGAAAGAGGAAAGAACATTGAGACTCAGAGGAGCTGCAGAAGGCAGGGGTATGGAGGCAAGAGCGCGTGGAGAGGTGGCAGCTGAGTATGTGGCTGGCTTCCTCAGTCAGGAGAGACCAAAGCTCCCGACCCCCTGAACTCCAGTTCCGGGCGAGACTCTGGGGACCCAGACTCATACGGGGAGAAACTGACTGTCAGGAAAGAGAAAAGTACACTGAGACTCAGAGGAACTGCGGAAGGCAGAAGTACCGAGGCATGCAAGCAGAGAGGACAGGCAACTGAGTATGCAACTGACTTTCTCAACCGGGAGGAAGACAAAAGCTCCTGACTGCTCTGAACTCCAGTTCTGGGTGAGACTCTGGAGATCCAGACTCATTTGCGAAGAAATTGGACTGCCCGGCAGCGGGCAAAACTCAAGGGTAGTTTTTTCTCACAGGTGCTTGCAGCGATTACCGAGGGGCACTGAGACTCAGGGGCCTCTTAGGGCAGGGCTGATGGGAAGCCATTGCTATCTGCTCCGCCCTGAGACTCTGCCCCATCCAAGCTGAGCACAGAGATTTTTGCAAGTCTTGTCTCATAAGGGTGTCTCCAGCACAGAAGTTCTCCCAGCATAGACATAGCTTATCCTCACAGCCAATTGGCCTGGAGATCAATTCCTCACAGTGATACCAACATCAATCAAGGTTTAACTACAACAAGACTATGCACACAGCCCACAAAGGGGTGCACCAAGAGTGTCCACCTCACATAACTAAAGAGGCTGAGCCACTGGGCCCTATAGGACACTTAGCACACAAAGCCACTCTATGAACTCAGGGAAGCAGACAAAATGTGGAGACAAAGGAAAAGGTCACAAATCAAAGAAATGGAGGAAAGGAAACGACTGGATATAGAGTTCAAAACCACGGTTAAAAGGTTTTTCAAGAATTTTCTAAAAAAGGCCCATAAATTAAGCAAGACCCTCATGGATATGAAAAAGGACCAATTAGAAATTAAGCATAATACTGACTGAAATAAAGAATAATATACAGAGATCCAACAGCAGACTAGAAAACCGCAAGAATCAAGTCAAAGATTTGAAATATAAAGAAACAAAAAACACCCAACTGGAAAAGCAAAAAGCAAAAGAATCCAAAAATATGAAGATAGTGTAAGGAGCCTCTGGGACAACTTCAAGCGTATCAACATCTGAATTATGGGGATGCCAGAAGAAGAGAGAAAGACAGTGAAAACCTATTTGAAGAAATAATAACCGAAAACTTTTCCCCCAAACAAAAGGAATCCAAAGAGGACCACACCAAGACACATCATAATTAGCCGAGACCTGTTTGGCTCAATGGGTAGAGCATCGGCTTAGGGACTGAAGGTCCCAGGTTCGATTCCGGTCAAGGGCATGTACCTTGGTTGTGGGCATATCCCCGGTGGGGGGTGTGCCAGAGGCAGCTGATCGATGACTCTCTCTCATCGATGTTTCTAACTCTCTATCTCTCTCCTTTCTTCTCTGTACAAAATCAATAAAATATATTTTAAAAAAAACAAAAACACATCATAATTAAAATCCCAAGAGCAAAAGACAGAGAGAGAATATTAAAAGCAGCAAGAGAAAACCAGTTAACTACAAGGGAGAACCCATACCCATGGTCGGTAAACTGCAGCTCGTGAGCCACATGTGGCTCTTTGGCCCCTTGAGTGTGGCTCTTCCACAAAATACCACAGCCTGGGCGAGTCTATTTTGAAGAAGTGGCATTAGAAGAAGTTTAAGTTTAAAAAATTTGGCTCTCAAAAGAAATTTCAATCATTGTACTGTTGATATTTGGCTCTGTTGACTAATGAGTTTGCTGACCACAGACCCATATGATTGTCAGTTGATTTGTCAACAGAAACTATATAGACCAGAAGGGAGTGGCAAGAAATATTCAAAGTGATGAATAGCAAGAACCTACAACCAAGATTATTCTACCCAAAAAAGCTATGATTCAGAATTGAAGATCAGATAAAGAGCTTCACAGATAAGAAAAAGCTAAAGGAGTTCATTACCACCAAACCAGTATTATACGAAATGCTGAAAGGTATTCTTCAAGAAGAAAAAGATAAAAATAAAAATTATGAACAACAAATACATATCTATCAACAAGTTAATCTAAAAATCAAGTGAATAAAGAAATATGGTGAACAGAATAAACTGGTGAATATAATACAATCAGGGGCATAGAAAGGGAGTGGACTGCTGAAACCGGTTTGGCTCAGCGGATAGAGCGTCGGCCTGCGGACTGAAAGGTCCCCGGTTCGATTACGGTCAAGGGCATGTACCTTGGTTGCAGGCGCATCCCCAGTGGGGGATGTGCAAGAGGCAACGGGTCGATGATTCTCTTTCATCGATGTTTCTAACTCTCTATCCCTCTCTCTTCCTCTCTTTAAAAAATCAAAATATATTTAAAAAAAGAAAAGGAGTGGACTGACAATTCTCAGTGGGAAAAGGGTATGAGGGGTGCAGGAAGAGACTGAACAAAAATCGTACACCTATGGATGAGGACAGTGGGGGAGGGTGGGGTAAGGGCAAAGGGTAGGGTGGGAACCGGGTGGAGGGAAGCCATGGAGGGAAAAAGGAGGAACAATTGTAATAATCTGAACAATAAAGATTTATTTAAATATTTTTAAAATATATTTTATTGATTTTATACAGAGAGGAAGGGAGAGAGAAAGAGAGAGTTAGAAACATCGATGAGAGATAGACATCGATCAGCTGCCTCTTGCACACCCCCTACTGGGGATATGTCCGCAACCAAGGTACATGCTCTTGACCGGATTCGAACCTGGGACCTTTCAGTCCCGAGCCGATGCTCTATCCATTGAGCCAAACCGGTCTTGGCTAAAGATTAAAAATAAATAAATAAATAAATATATATATATATATATATATATATATATATATATATATATGTAGTGACAAATTAACATATGTATATTATAATCACTAAATCACCACCAATAGGACAACAAAAGAAAAAACAAAGAAGCGTAACTAAAATGTCAAGAGGCATAAATATAAAGTCATTAGAGGAGATAAAATGAAATGATACAAAATACTTGATTCAATCAGTCAGGAAAGGATAAATACAAGAAGAAGTGGCAAATAAAAGCTGAATACCAAGATGACAGACTCAACACAAATACATAAATTTATAGTAAATGTTGATGAAATAAACTTTCCAATTAAAAAGCAGAGATTGCCCCATCTGGTTTGGCTCAGTGGATAGAGTTACATATGTTTTATTGGTTTTGTACAGAGAGGAAGGGAGAGGAAGAGAGAATTAGAAACAGCAATGAGAGAGAAACATCAATCAGCTGCCTCCTGCATACCTACTGGGGATGTGCCCGCAACCAAGGTACATGCCCTTGACCGGAATCAAACCTGGGACCCTTGAGTCCGCAGGCTGATGCTCTATCCACTGAGCCAAACTGGTTGGGGGGTGGGGGGAATTTTTAAATCAAAGATAATTTGGTTTTGAAGGTATAAAAATATTATTTAGCATAATCCAATAAGTAAACCATTTCTGTAACTTCCCAGAACATCAAATAATTTATCAGGTATACTTTATCTTTATGCATTACAAAGTGATCCAATCCTATCATTAGTTCTGTACAACCACTCAAGAGTCAGGTGTTCTAGAAACAAGGCGGCCTGGATCAGACTGTCGGACCTCAGAGGGAGTGTAGGGGAGGGTGGGGATAAAGGGGAGAGATCAACCAAAGGATTTATGTGCACACATATGAGCCTAAACAGTGGTCAAGGACAACATGGGGGAGGGAGCATGTGTGAGGAGGGGGGTGGGATGCGAATGGGGGGATGAGGACAAATATGTGATACTTTAATCAATAAAGAAATTTTTTTTTAAAAAGTCAGGTGTTCTTAGATGTTTGAATTACTTTCAAATTGTTTTGGTTTATTTTTACTATTCTTTTGTCCATGGCTTTTAAGTTGGACTAACATCTTTTTTTTTTTTTTTTTTACATTAACAAAATAAAGGAGGTTGAACTTAAGGAAATTTCAAATGGGAAAAAACAAATCAGATACACAGAATCATTGAGATAAGGTCTAAAAATAATATCAACAGCAACAACTGGGTTTCCAATTTACTTATACCTTCCTTTTAATTGGTATTTTACATTTCATATTCAGGAAAAGATTGAAAACCATGCCCTAGCTGGCTTGGCTCAGTGGATTGAGCATCAGCCTGTGGAGTGAAGGGTTCCGGGTTCAATTCCGGCCAAAGGCACATTCCTGGGTTCCAAAGTTGATTCCCAGTGGGAGGAGTGCGGGAGGCAACTGATCAATGAATCTCTCTTATCATTGATGTTTCTCTCCTCCCTTCTTCTCTGAAATCAATAAAGAAATACGAAAAAAAAAGATTAAAAAACAAATATTCTTATTAATTTTAAAATGCAACAGTTTGCTCACCCCATAAATGAATCTCTGATTAAACTGCTGCATTGCTCCTTGAAGCTGACTACGTTGGAGCTGCCACTGTTCATAGTTCCGGACGGACTCCAATGTTGGCCTCTGCCACGTTGTTGTTCTTGTGAAATGGTCAACATAATAAATACGTCCCATGTTGTCAACCCTGCGTTCCCAGCTAAATCAAACAAAAAACAACCTAAATCAACAAATACTTGTGAAACAGATAAGGATTAAACAGAACTTCATCCTGGCCCTGGTGCATGTTTAGTAACATTTTACCTTAAGAAACTACTTTTGACTTACCTGAAGCCTTTTATTTTATGTATTCTGAAATGGTCTATTAAAGAACTTAAACACAATGTCTATTTAGTGAGTAAGCCTCAAATAGTCATTAAGAAAAAGTTTTCATTTTCTTTCCAATGTTCTTGTCATTGTTGCAAACTTAACAGGGACATACTTTACATATATAAATCTTTTCATAGATATCATAAAGTACTTTTCCACAAGAATACAATTATCGCATTTATCATTTCAAATGGGAGCATAATATTAAATAGATATTGATATAATAACTTTGAGATTTCTAACTGGTTGATTGTTTAGGATTCTTCCCAATTTTCTGATATCATATACAGCAAAATAATAAATACCTTTAACATATCAAAAAGTTTTCCTTCTTTTGTATTATTTCTTTAGGATAAATTTTCTGAGGGACTTACTAAGAGTATGTGCATTAATATGGTTATATGTGCGACCTGTTAGAATTGTAACTAATTTATACTACCACCAGAAATTTTATGAGGCGAAGATCCTCCACAATTTCACAATAAATATCACCTAATAATTTCACAAGTAAAACAGTATCTTTTAGGTGTGTACTTAAGATTATAACTAGTTAAGATTAAATATTTTCCCATGTATGCTATGTATTCCCTTGAATAAAAATATTTCTCCCAATTATATAATGCAAATGCTTAATATCTAGCATTAAAATATTTTTTAAAGTATTTTTATTGATTTCAGAGAGGGAGGAAGAAAGGGAGGGAGGGAAAAGAGAGAGGTGGAGGGAGGGAGGAAGGTGGAGGGAGGGGGGAGGGAGAGAGGGAGAGAGAGAAAAAGAGAGAGAGACAGACAGACATCAATAATGAGAATCACTGATCAGCTGTCTCCTGCATGCCCTCTACTGGCAATCGAGCCTGCAACCTGGACATGTCTCCTGATCTAGAACTGAACTGTGACCTCCTGGTTCAGAGGTCAATGCTCAACCACTGACCCATGCTGGCTGGGCTGTATTAAAATATTTATTAGCCCTGGCCAGGTAGCTCAGTTGGCTGAAAAAACCCCACATACCAAAAGGTTTAAGGTTCAATTCCCAGTGGGGTAAATACCTACGTTGCAGGTTCACTTCCTAGTCTGGGAATGTACTAGAGGCAACCAATCGATCTCTCTCTCTCTCTCAAATCAATAAACATATCCTAAGTGCGGTTTAAAAACAAAAAAGTTGCCCTGGCCAGTTTTGCTCAGTGGATAGAGCATCAGTCTGCAGACTCAAGGGTCCCAGGTTCGATTCTGGTCAGGGCCATGTACCTTGGTTGCTGGCATATTCCCAGTGGGGGGTGTGCAGGAGGCAGCTGTTCGATGTTTCTAACTCTCTCTCCCTCTCCTTCTCTGTAAGAAATCAATAAAATATATATTCAAAAATAAAGTAAATAAAAGTTTTATATATATATATACGGGATATTTCTTCATTTATATGACAGGGTTTATAATTCTTATTCATTTAAATAATTAGTCTTAAACTAATCCTAAAATCCTATGATTTGAGACAGTTAAAGTTCAGAAAGGAAAACTTAGAAGTAGTAAGACTTATAGAATCTTTAGGTCAGAACTGAGTGAAAATTATGCTCCATCAATATCTGACTCTCTTCTTTCTAGTTTACATCTACCACAAAACAAAGTAGATAAAGACAGGAAGAGGTTGAAAAGTAAGAATGCAGTAAAGGCTTTGTTACAGACACAATCTACAGTTCTGAATAAACACTTTTTCTCTTCATTAATTCAGATACTCACCCAGGAGGTAGAGGTTCTGGTCTATCCCACGTTGTTCTTTTTTCAATATGATCTACATAGTAAACTCGCCCATGCTGGTCCACTCTCTGCTCCCAACTTAAATACAAAATTAAAAAGTCTGGGTATAGTACTTATCTTTAATCCTGTCTTTGCCTTTTTGGCTTATATGACCACGAGAGGCCTGGTGCACGAATTTGTGCACCAGTGGGGTCCCTCAGCCTGGCCTGTGGGGATTGGGCTGAAACTGGCTCTCCAACATCCCTGGAGGGGTCCTGGATTGCAAGAGGGCAGTTCTTGAGTGACACACCATAGAATCGGGCTCCCTCCTCTCTGGTTCCAGGTGTGCCACCTGAGAACCGCAGCTACCAAGTCACTGCAGCTCAGCAGCTCCTGCATTGAGCGTCTGTTCCCGGGCACTCAGTGCGCATCATAGCTACTGGTTGGAGTGTCTGCCCCCTGGTGGTCATTGTGCTGGTTGAAAGGTTGCTTAGGCTTTTACATATAGAGGATACTATAGAACTGAGGCAAATAAGCATGTCAATATATAAAAAGGATATGAAAAAAATTTAGGAACAGAATCAAGAAATGTTATACTAAGGGAGATACATAGTGGACAAAGTATAAAGTATCTGATCTAAGAGAAGTCTTGTATTTCTAAAAAGCCTTGAAACAGACTCAGGAAATAGTCTGTCTCAATCTCGTCAAGGTATGCAGGACTTAAGTGGGGGAAAAAGCTGTAATTAAAACAATGAAATCTAAAGAAAAACTAAAGAAATGCTACCCGAAAGACAAAGAATTATTTGTGTTCTAGAAACACTGAAATCAGATAAAAACTCTCAACAAGGTAGGAATAGAAGGATCATACCTCAACATAATAAAAGCCATATATGATAAACCCACAGCCAACATCATACTCAATGGGCAAAAACTAAAACCATTCCCTCTAAGAACAGGAACAAGACAGGGATGCCTACTCTCACCACTCCTGTTTGACATAGTACTGGAAGTACTAGCCATTGCAATTAGACAAGAAGAAATAAAAGGCATCCAAATTGGAAAAGAAGAAGTAAAGTTACCCTTATTTGCAGATGACATGATATTGTACATCTAAAACCCAAAAGACTCCATCAAAAAACTAATTGACTTAATAAATGAATTTGGCAATGTAGCAGGATACAAAATTAACACCAAGAAATCTATGGCATTTCTATACACCAACAGTGAACTTACAGAAACAGAGACAAAAAAAAGGAATCCTATTTACCATCGCACCAAAAAATCTAAGATACCTAGGAATAAACTTAACTAAGGAGATAAAAGACCTATATGAGGAAAACTTCATAACACTGAAAAAAGAGATAAAGGAAGATGTAAACAGATGAAAGAACATACCATGTTCATGGATTGGTAGAATCAACATCATCAAAATGTCCATACTTCCCAAAGCAATTTATAAGTTAAATGCACTCCCCATTAAAATACCAACAGCATACTTCACAGACCTAGAAAGAACTCTCCAAAAATTCATCTAGAACAAAAAAAGACCCCGAATAGCCACAGCAATCCTGAGAAAAAAGAATAAAGTAGGGGGGATCTCAATACCAGATTTCAAGCTGTATTACAAAGCCACTGTTCTCAAAACAGCCTGGTATTGGCACAAGAACAGACATATGGATCAATGGAATAGAATAGAGAATCCGGATATGGACCCAAACTTCTATACTCAATATTTGACAAAAGAGGTACGAACATACAATGGAGTCAAGATAGTCTCTTCAATAAATGGTGTTGGGGAAATGGGACAGTCACTTGCAAAAAAATGAAACTAGATCACCAACTTATAACACAAACAAAAATAATCTCAAAATGGATACAGGACTTAAGCATAAGACGGGAAGCCATAAAAATACTAGAGGCATTCACAGGTAGCAAAATCTCTGACATATGTCAAAAGAACTTCTTCACTGATACTGCCCCTAGAGCAATGGAAGCTAAAGAGAAAATAAACAAATGGGACTACATCAAAATAAAAAGCTTTTTTACAGCAAAAGAAACCATCAACAAAACAACAAGAAAGTCCACTGTAAGGGAAAACATATTTGCAAATGTTATTGCTGATAAAGGTTTAATCTCCAACATCTACAGACAGCTTATACCACTAAAAGGAAGATAAATGACCCAATTAAAAAATGGGCAATGGATCTAAATAGAATCTTCTCAAAAGAAGACAGAAGGAAGGCCAAAAGGCACATGAAAACATGCTCAAAGTCACTAATTATCCGAGAGATGCAAATCAAAACAACAATGCGGTACCATCTCACACCTGTCAGAATGGCTAACATCAACAAATCAACAAACGACAAGTGTTGGCGAGGTTGCAGAGAAAAAGGAACCCTTTTGCTGGTGGGAATGCAGACTGGTGCAACTACTGTGGAGAATAGTATGGAGTTTCCTCAAAAAACTGAAAATGGAACTCCCATTTGACCCAGTAATCCCACTCCTACGAATATATCCCAAGAAACTAGAAACACCAATCAGAAAGGATATATGCACCCCTATGTTCATAGCAGCACAGTTTACAATAGCTTGTATTTGGAAACAGCCTAAGTGTCCATCAGCAGATGATTGGATCAAAAAACTATGGTACATCTATAAAATGGAATATTATGCTGTCATAAAAAATAAGAAATTCTCATTTGCAGTAACCTGGATGGAATTGGAGAATATCATGCTGAGTGAAATAAGCCAATCAATGAAAGAGAAACACCACATGACCTCACTCATTTATGGATAATAAAGAATACTATAAACTGATGAACCAAAAGATAGATATAGAGACAGTAAAGCAACAAGCAGACTGTCAAATTACAGCGGGGAGGGTAGGGAGATCTGGGGAAGATAAGAGATCAACCGAAGGACTTGTATACATGCATATAAGTACAACCAATGGACACAAAACTCTGGGGAGGGAGGGCATATATGGGGGGGGGGCATAAATTATTATCTGTGTACATATTATCTGTATATGTACACAGATAATAATTTAATAAAAAATAATAATAAATGAGGAAAAAATAGAAACACTGAAATCAAAGCGTAAGACTTCATCAGATATATCTCTGTGCAGTGCAATGGACAAACTCATTCTGAGTATTCTAGTCTCCTTGGTAGGTTTTCCTCCAAAGTGAAGAAGGCTAAATTATCATGGCTTAAAAGTACCAATAACTTTTAAGAGCACCCAGTTTCTCTTTGGTAATCTTTTGCACAAATAACTTTCTAATTTGGCTTCCCATGGCGGCTTTCCAAAAGGAAAATTGTCTAACTACCCACACAAATAATATATAATCTATTTATCAATTAAAATTCTCATCATGAGAGCTTATTAATATATTAACCAGCTCTAGTCAGTTTGGCCCAATGGATAGAGCAATGGATAGAGCATCTACCTGCCAACTAAAGGGTCCCAGGTTCGATTCTGGTCAAGGGCACATGCCCAGATTGTGGGGTTGATCCCCAGTCAGGGGCATACAGGAGGTAGCCAATCAATGATTCTCTCTCATCACTGATGTTTCTCTCTCTCTCTGAAATTAATAAAAATATATTAAAATATATATATTAAACATCAATTAATTTTGATTAGCATTCTGAGCTCTGAATTATTTGAATGCAATATGTATATACATACATAATCTATTAGAGTATTATTACAATAATTTAGTGATTAGAGTATTATTTGTGCAAAAGTAGGCCTTCAAATATTTGACTTGTACTCGAAGTGATTAAAATAGAATTATGAGTGCTAATTTTCTCAGTTTCCTATTTCAATTCAAAAGTGATTTTTTTTTCCCCTTAAAAAAAAAAAAAGCAATCTGAATTAGGTGACTATATTACTACATGAGCTTGGTTAACTTTCCATGGTTCAGCATTTCAGGGGGGGAAAAATCACTTTAAAAGAAATTTTTTCCATTTTGTCCTGGAAATGAGGGTAGAAATTTCAAATATGGCGAACTTTATTTTGGTTCAGTTTAATTGTAGATCCCCACCAAAAGCAGTTACAATTGCTTTAAGACAATGTTTTAAAGAATGGTATTATTTTCCTTATTAATAAGTATATACAGATGCCAAAAGAAAAATGTTAACCAAAAACAGTTACTCACCCAGGTGGTAGTGGAGCTTGGGGTACAGGATTTAATGGTCTAGGGCCCGAGCCTCCAGATATAGTAAGAGGAATTATTAATCCAGATGTTGCTCCCTCAGATGTATTTGAATTTGTATTTGTTGGAGGCAGAGAACCTGTACTAGAGCCATCACTTTCAGAAGTGGCAGAAGGTGAACCATTAACGGAAGCTATAAAAGATTTGGAAAAAACAGAAAAACAATCTTCTATTTTCAGAAATCAGGTTAAATTTTTAACTTAAAAAAATGAAGAGACAGATGAAGAAATACACAATATATGAATATGTAGAAAAAGATTACTAAATTAAATAATGTGATAAGCCAATGGTCCCACTAAATAGGCTTATTTACATTTTTTAGGCTGTCTACCCCATATTCTATTTTAATTATGAAGCACAGATCCTGATTTCCTGTGCACAGAAGGTAAAAACTCTTAGAATAGATAAGTGTTGGTATTCCATGGTATAATGAAGTTCATTTAAAAATCTTCTAGATCCTTAAAATTATCTTTCTTATGACACCTTGCAGATTAAAGGTCAATTTTTGATGTTAGTTATAATGGAAGACCTGACTAATAAGCAATATTATTCTTATAAATAGTTGTTAAGTACATATTACATCTTCAAGAAATACTTTAAGACCATATACTACTTTGTCATAATATTAGGAAGTTACCAATATTATGACAAAGTAGTATATGGTCTTAAAGATTGGGAATATATTGTAAACAACATTATGTACAGAAAAAAGTATAATTAAACACAAAGTCATTTAATAAAATAATTTGTGGACAGCTTATTTTTATAATAATATGTGGTTTAATTATTTTACATTCCATATCCATATACTAGCAGAGAGAAATAATAAAAGATTAAAGATTTGTTATGGTTGGTCAGGAATAAAATGAATATTCTACCTATATATGTTTACACTTTTATTACATGAAGTATGTTCATTTATTGTATAATTTTTGCTTTCAATTCTGAATATCATTTAGCATTACTTGTCATTTACTAATTGTCTTTCTAAAGGATATAATGAGAATAAGCAACCAGATCTTTGATTCTATGGCATACTAATGTCCACATAGTTACAAACCCTAACAGAAAGATGCAATCTTATCTGTACTGCTTATCTATAATAATAAAAGTATATGCTAATTAGACTGGATGACCTTCTGAACAAAACCAGGGCTGCGAGGGAAGCCCAGGTCCTAGATGCCAGAGGGAAGCCATGCCGGACCCAGGGGAAGAAAGGTCTACTTTTGCACAAATTTTATGTACTGGACCTCTAGTACTTTATATAATGTGATTTTTATTCTGAATAGAGCTCATGCCTCATTAACTTCACCCCTGGAGGAAAAACTTAGGGAAAAGGCAAGTCTTAGTTACTTATAGAAAGACTAGAGGCCCAGTGTACGAAATTTGTGCATGGGAGGGGGGTGTCCCTCAACCCAGCCAGCACCTCTCTAACCTGGGACCCCTTGGGGGATGTCTGACTGCCAGTTTAGAGGAGAATCAATTCCTGTGGGGTAGGGCCTAAACTGGCAGTTGGTCATCCCTCTTGCAATCCAGGACCATTCCTTCCTAACCACTTGCCTGCCTGCTGGCCTGATTCCTCTTACTGCTCTCCCCCACTGACCTGATCCCCCTAACTGCCCTCCCCTGCCAGTCTGATTGCCCTACATGCTCTCCCCTGCCAGACTTATCATCCCTTACTGCCTCTGTTGTGGCTCCGCCACCAGGGCTTTGTCTGGAAGGATATCCAATCTAATTACCATATTACCCTTTTATTAGAGTAGAGGCCTGGTGCACGGGCGGAGGCTGGCTGGTCTGCCCTGAGGTGGTCCTGGATCAGGGTCCCCTTGTGGGGGCAGGGTGGTGGTAGGGTGGAGCCAGGGGCCGAGGGCTGTCTGCAGGCTGGCCATTCCCCCATTGGGATGGGGGTCTCTGCTGGGGGAAGGCCGGTCTGGGTGAGGGGCTGAGAGCCTTTTGCAGGCCATCCACGCCCCATCGGGTTGGGGGTCCCCATTGGGGAGGGGGTAGCCTAGGCGAGGGCCCAGGGCTGTCTGCAGGCCTTCCACGCCCCATTGGGTTGGGGGTCCCCACTAGGGAGGGGGTAGTTTGGGCGAGGGGCCTGGCGTGGTTTGCAGACCGATCAGACCTCTGATGGGGTGAGGGGCCCCTGCTGGGAGCAGGGAAGCCTGGGCGAGGGCCTAGGGCGGTTTGCAGGCCAGCCGTGGCTTTGTCCAGAAGGTCTCTGGAAGGTCTCCTCATCTAATTTGCATATTACTCTTTTATTAATATAGATCATTCTTGGCCAAAATCTTTAATATAAAATTACAGCTAGAAAACCAGTCTACAAGGGCCTTTTTACACTTACCTGAAGATCAATTCCCAAACAGAACATGACTTAGATCACAGTGTAAGAGCTGCATACACACCTGGTCTCCGCGGGGTAGGTGGAGGTGGTCGCGAAGGTCTTGGAGGTCTAGAAGGCTTAAAGCCGCCGTTTGAGAGCGATGGAGAATTATTCCCATTGACCTTCCTATTTTCACCAGACCCTGCATCCTCGGGGTCATCTGATCCATTTGTGTTCACTCTGGGTAAGAAGTGGGTAAAGGAAAGGGAAAGGGAAAGGGCTCTTTTAATTTAGCAAAAACTAGCGGGCTTAAAAGTTTCAGAAGTTTGTGAAAAGCTTTCTAATTTCTGGCTAGCTTTATCAAATACATAAACAGCCTTTGGGTAAGGTCTTACATATAACCCTGAGAGCCCATTCAGAAATAGAATGAGGAGCCAGGGCACAGGAAAACTTGGGACCATTCAACATTATTAAGTACGCCAGTGCAGATTTTTCTCTGGCCAAGAAGTTACTGTCCCTTAATATCCTGCACTTCTTTTGAGATTAGAAGATGATTCTTTGTCACAGGAGTGACTCTGTGAAGGCAGATCTCCATTAGGTAAAACACAACAGCTTTATAAACTTTGATTTTCCTAAAAATCTTAATGAGTCATCTTTTTTAAACTTTTTATTACGAAATTTTATTCATCACAAAAGTAAATAGAGCGCTGGCTGGTGTGGCTCAGTTGAGTAGGTGTGGTCCTGCTGGGTTGTGGGCTGGATCCCTGGTGGGGGATCATGCAGGATATGGCGATTGATGCTACTCTCTCACATCCATATTTATCTCCCTCCCACTTCCTTCCTTCCTCTCTAAAAATCAATAAAAAAATATTTTTAAAGGTAAACAGACAAGAAAAACAAAATCATCTCCTTTCCTAACTTTATCTCCCACTGTTGGTTTAAAAAAAAAACCCAATAAACACTTCAAAGTCTGTTAAGTCAGTTAAAACAACCCTCAATACTTGCAGGCTCTAGACTGAAGGCAGATAAGCACATGAAAGCGCTGAATCTAGGCTAAGCGCAAACATATGGTGCATATCACTGCCCTTGCTAATGAAGGCCCAGGAGATATTATAGCCAGTGGTGACCTTCATATGTACCCCACCCTTATATTTTAGCTTTCCTAGAAAATAAATTTAACATCCTAGTGATGGCCCTGGGATTCTGAACTCCTTGTCTTTGTATTTCCTTTCTTACCTTAAGCCCTGAATTTTTTGACAGTCATTTATTCTTGTAACAATCTGAACTTGAAGTTTTAACTAAAATTAATATATTTTTCTGCATTTTTAATAAACAATAAGTAAAATCTTACCTTGTCTCCTCCTTGGGCCTGGAGCCATCATCATTCTGTGAAGCACCTTTAACATCAATAAAATTTAGAGGAAATGAGTTTCAAAGTAGTGTTCATGTTTTTCCTAAATATGGTATGTAAGCAAAGCCTTTTATTAAATCTTTCTAGTGAAAAACATACTAGAATTTAAATTCCAACATGACATTTAAAAAGGAAAATGTGATAAATGTTATTAAGATTGAAATAAGTTTTACAAAAATTTTGCACAAATGCAGATTATGTGTAAGAAATATTAATTAACTTAGGTATATCACTCCTGGGCTACTTCTGCCTTTCTTAAAATATGTTTGCTTAATTCAAATGTAAATCTAATTATTTTTAGCCATTTTAGTATTCTAAATCTCTTATAAAAAAAGTGCTGATCACCAGCAGAATGATTAATAAAATAGGTTCTGAAAACAGAAAAACCGTCTCTCTCATGCTGGGGCCTGGAAAGCTTCAAGAGTAGAAAAAGCACAAATGGGTGGATGTTAAAGTAACCAAAAGTGAATGCCACAATGTTCACACTTTCTTCACATTTTATTCATGTGAACTATCTCTAGGATTCAATGTCTTAAATGTGAAAAGAATAGTAAAAATCACATGCAGCACACTAGACTGGCTAATGTAAGAGGAATCATTAAAAACCCTACACAGAAAGCGATTACTTACTTTCTGCACATGTAGCTTCACCGTTGGTAACAACTTCAGATTCTAATTGCAGCCCATCTAGACAAATTGACAAGTCTCCTATTGTCTCTGTTGGTTCTTTGTCACCTACAAGCTGTAAAGTCACAACTACTTTCTCAACTGGAAGAGAATAAATTACAGAACAAATGGTCATTTTTTTTTCTCTCTCTAAGTCATTTTAACTTAAAAACCTATTGTCAGAAAAAGACTCTACATATTGGTAATTTTTCCCTTTAAATCATCTTAATTGTTAAAAACAATGTGGGGAGAAAAATCACATATGTGTATATAAATTGTTTTAATATTCTTCCCTCAGGGTTTCAGATCTTATGACACCAAAACATTTTAAAAATAGAATAAAATTTGCTAACACTTAATAACATAAAATGCTAAATAGCTCAATGATCACATTTGCTATATACATGCCATCCTTGCATAAAATGAGCCAGCAGGGTCCTAAGTTCAATTCCGGTAAAGGCACAGGCCTGGGGTTGCAGACTAGAATCCTAGGAGGTGTGCAAGAGGCAACCAATCAATGATTCTCTTATCATTGATGTTTCTCTCTCTCTCTCCCTTTCCTTTACTCTGAGATAAATAAAAACATATTTAAATAAAATTAAAAATAAAATGAGCCAGCAAGACAACCAAGAAAATTCAGCAAAATATGTCTAATTTATTATATATTAACTAGCAACATATCACTTAAGAATGGACTGCCCTGGCCAGTGTTGCTCACTTGGTTGGGTGTCATCCCATATACCAAAAGGTTGGTAATTTAATTCCTGGTCAGGGCACACGCCCAGGTTTCGAACTCTATCCCCCAGTAGGGGGTGTGCAGAAGTCAGCCAATAGATGTTCTGTTCTCATATCAATGTTTGTCCTCTCCCTTCTTCTCTAAAAATTAAATTTAAAAATATTTTTTAAAAAGAATGGATTATATCTCACCCTGAACTAGTATGACTCAATTGGTTGGAGTGTCCCATAAACCAAAAGGTGGCAGGTTCAAGGCCTGGTCAAGACACATAGTCAAGGTTGTGGATTCATACCTGGTGGATGGGGACACGTGCATGAGGCAACCTATCAATGTTTCCCTCTCACATCTCTCTGTCTCTCTTCTTTCCTCTCTCTAAAATCAATATATATATATATATATATATATATATATATATATAGTTACTTAAAAAATGGATTGCATCTCATAAGTTCTAAACGAGAAATAAAATTTTTAGAAGTATGTTTTAGATAGTCAAGGGGTAGAAAATATAAATGTTTTAAAATAATATATTAAAACAAACATATTTCAAGTTTTTATATATGTATATTTAACATAGATATATACTTATATACACACAGGTTGGAACAAAAGTTTACATTTGTGAGTACATGAAACTCTTTATTCTTGTTTCATTATTTCCCATAGAACAACTATAAATCTACTTTTGCCCCATCCTATTTAAATAAAAACAACCATCTAAAATTGGGAAATTTTGTTCAGTGAGTGTGGCTCAGTGATTGAGCATCAATCTATGAACCAGGAGGCCATGGTTCGATTCCTGATCAGAGCACATACCAAGGTGTTTCAGCTCAATCCCCAGTGCAGGACATGCAGGAGGCAACCATTAATGATTTTCTCTCATCACTGATATTTCTTCCCCCCCCCCCCGTCTCTGAAATCAATAAAAATTTATTTAAAAAATAAAATAAATGAAGTTTTTAAAATGAGCATTTGGAAAAGGAAATCTATCAAAATATTAACATTTCTCTCTCTGACATGGGATTTCCCCCCCTTCAGTCTGCTTTGTATTTTATAGTTCTCCATAATTGAGTATGCAGTATTTTAATATATATCTATTAAATAAGTGAATATTTAAGACATTAAATACAAAAGGGATAGCCAAACCAAGGTTACTCAGAATGCTTTAAATAGTTCAAGATTCTCCTCCCAGTTAATAATTAAAAATAGTGACCATAATCATTCTGGATGTTTGGTATATGAATTTCCTGTAGAAAAAAGAAACTGAGCATAATTTCTATTATTTTTACATACATACATTTCATATTGTTTGACTTCAATGTTTCATAGATATCTAGTGTAGCAGTTCCCAATAAAACATCAGATTTCAGTGTCTGGTGACTCCACACGCGAAAATGTAATTTACTCATAGGGGTGACGATACTAAAAATGAAGGTGAAAAAAACTTTATCATTAAATATCACAATGGGATGCTACACAAATTACAATTAAGTTTTAGTGTTTACAATCTTACTATGCCCTTCATAGTTAACTGAATAAGTAATATTGCTTATATTCTATAACCTTATGAAAAACACCTGGATGTTACATGCTTGCATGATCATTTTCCTTAGTAAAGGAACTATAGTGGCAACTTCATCCACACATCAACAAAAGTGAAACTGCCGAAACCGGTTTGGCTCAGTGGTAGAGCGTCGGTCTGCGGACTGAAAGGTCCCAGGTTCCATTCCGGTCAAGGGCATGTACGTTGGTTGCGGGCACATCCCCGGTGGGTGGTGTGCAAGAGGCAGCTGGTCGATGTTTCTCTCTCATCGATGTTTCTGGCTCTCTCTCTCTCTCCCCCTTCCTCTCTGTAAAAAATCAATAAAATATAGATTTAAAAAAAAAAAAAGTGAAACTGCTCATCATGCTATAAATTGGAAAACTAGTCTTACTTTAGTATTATAGTATGAAAAAATGAACTTATAAACTAAATCCTTATTTTATGTCAAGTAGTGTGCTCAGTTTTGAGATTATTTCATTTAATCTTCAAAGCAACCCTATGAGATGGGATTTAGGATATTCATCTTCAGATATAGAAACTCCTATTTAGAAGGTTAAGCACATTGCCCAACATCATACAGCCAGTCAGTGGCAGACTGTAATCTGAACAAAGCCTATCATTAAAATATATATTAAAAAGTTCCTCAGTCTGATACATAATGATTCAGGATTATGATACCTCATATTTCACACTGTTGAAGACAAATTATCCAGGATAACTGTCAAATATAGACTCCCTCATGCTATGCTAAAAGCCAATAATGAATGCTATCTGTAATGGTAATTTCCAAAGCAAACTTTGGGAAATTTGTATTTATAATAAATTATATTCAAACTATGATATTTGAGTCATCAATTAGAACACTATAAAATCCACCACAGTCTTATGGTTCAAAACTAGGAAGACAAAATCTTGAAAGCTTTTAATTTTTATATTCCTCATACTCTCTAAATCGTATTCAAGTTTTTGGGTGACAAACACTCTCCTCCTTATAAGTCCACCTATACCTATAACCTCATCATCATATTTCTACCATCATTTTAATAGTAGGTATTTAAAGTAAACTAAAATATTTTCACTTTTTTGGTTGTAGTGGGGGTGGTACTGGTGGTGGTAGTGGTGTGTGTGTAGGGGTGTAATATAATATATTCATTCTCAACTATTAAAAATTCTCAACTATTACTTTGAAGAGAACATATAGTATATACAGGGTGCCCCAAAAAGGTGTATACACCCTTTACAGCTGATAGCTCAATTGATGTTTCTATCTTTTCAGATTTAACCTATTGGCATTAATAATTATTCAAAGTGTGTATATATTTTGGGGGGACATGCTGAAGTAAGAAAACATTTCTCTATTAGTTATCTGGGAAATAATAATAGAGATAGAATACAAGAACAGATAAATTTAATATTACTTTAAATTGAGAGGACAAAGTATACTGTTAAAGATGATCTTATTTAAATTATTTCATGTCAACTCTAGAGAAATCTGGAAAGTCTGCTAGCGTAACAATGGAAGCTGAATTAAAATAACAGATCAATCTGCTGCAAATTAAAAATTCAGGAGAACATGACCTATGTGTTCCTCTAAACATCTGGGCTAAATAATAGTACTACCATATGGTACTACTTCAAGAATTTTTTCTTCTTAACATTTTAAGCACTGAGGAGTTCATGTCATTATCAGCTTAAGAGTCTCAAAGTAGAGAGTCGTTCCAAGATGGCTGACAGGTAAACACCTAGCCGCAGCCGCACACAACAATTTCAATAAAATACAACTAAAATATAAAATGGACATTACCCAGAACTACAGGAAAGTTGACTGACTGGAAATTCTACAACGAGAAGCAAGGAGAAAACCAGAAGGAAGCGAGGAGGAGCTGTAAAAGCCTGAGGTACGGAGACATGCAGCGCTCGGAGAGGATGGAGCAGGAGAGGAAGGGCGGGGCGGCTGAGTGCCTGGCTGGCGTTCCTGAGCAGGAAGGAGATAAAAGCTCTGACTGTGCTGGGCCCCAGTTCCAACTGCTCTGAACCCCAGTTCTAGGCCAGACCCCGGGGACCCAGGCTCAAACAGAGGGAGCTGGGCTGTAAGGCGGAACCCCGGGGAAGCGGCGAAAGGAGGTCCCCGCGGCGCGCACATTGAACGCAGAGAAGGGACGGTTGGCTGTGCCGCGGGATTGCCCTGGCGGGAAGGAGACAGGGGCTCCAGACTGCTCTGAACGCCACCTCCAATCCCACTACCAACTGAACTGAACCCCAATACCGGGCTCATTGGGGGAGAGCATAGACTGTTTGGCAGCAGGCGAAAATCGAGGGCACCTTTCTCTCAGAGGTGCTGGCAGTGAGTACTAAAGGACCCGCATAGGGCGGGGCTGACGGAAGCCAAAGCTGTAGGCTCCACCCTGAAACCCTGCCCCATCCAAGCAGAACACAGAAACTTTTAAGGCTACCAACACAGGAAAGCTGCGAAAATGCCGAGACGAAATAGATCACAAACGAAAGAAATGGAGGACAAAAAGCGACTGGATATAGAGTTCAAATCTACGCTTATAAGGTTTTTCAAGAATTTCCTAGAAAAGATGGATAAGACCTATGAGGAGATGAAAAGGGATCAACTAGAATTAATAAGGAATCAACCAGAAATGATAAGGGATCAACAAGAAATAAAGAATACATTGACTGAAATAAAAATATTATACAGAGTCCTAAAAACAGAATGGAAGATCACAAGAATCAAGTCAAAGAGTTGGAACATAAAGAGCCAGAAGACACTCCTCCGCAGAAGCTAGAAGGCAAGAGAATCCAGAAAATTGAAGATAATGTAAGAAACCTCTGGGACAACTTCAAGCAAACCAACATCAGAATTATGGGGGTCCCAGAAGATGAGAGAGAGCAAGATATTGAAAACTGAAAGAAAGAAATAGGGACAGAAAACTTCCCCCACCTGGTGAAAGAATTAGATTTACAAGTCCAGGAAGCACACAGAACTCCAAACAAAAGAAATCCAAAGAGGACCACACCAAGACAAATCATAATTAAAATTCCAAGAGCAAAAGACAAAGAGAGAATATTAAGAGCAGCAAGAGCAAAGAAGGTAGTTACCTATAAAGGAGCACCTATACGATTGTCAGCTGATTTCTCAACAGAAACCATGCAGGCCAGATGGGAATGGCAAGAAATATTCAAGGTGATGAATAGTAAGAACCTACAGCCAAAGATAATCTATCCAGCAAAGCTATCACTCAAAATCGAAGGTCAGATAAAGAGCTTCACTAATAAAAAAAAAGCTAAAGGAGTTCATCACCACCAAACCAGAATTATATGAATTGCTGAAGGGGGTTCTTTCAGAAGAGAAAGTAAATAAAGATAAAAATTATGAACAACAAATACGCAACTATCAACAAGTGAATCTAAAAACCAAGGGAATTAAAAAAAATCTGATGAACAATATTAACTGGTGAATATAATAGAATCAGAGGTATGGAAGGGGAGTGAACTGACGATTCTTGAGGAAAAGGGGAGAGAGGGATGTGGGAAGAGACTGAACATAAACTGCACCTATGGATGAGGACAATGGGGGGTGGGGAAAAGGCAGAGGGTGGGTGGGAACCTGGTGGAGGAGAGCAATGGTGTGGGGGGGAGAGGGGGGAAGGAACATTTGTAATAATATGAACAAAAAAATTTATTTAAAAAAAAAAGTCTCAAAGTATGTATATGGTGAGCACTGATAGCAGTTGGTAGAAAGTTGATGAGCATTCAGTCTATTATTCATTATAGAGGTTGTGACATTTTATAGATTTCATTTGATTTTTGTGAAAATTTTACTCATATACTGTTTAATTTATATTCAATCTCTAATGAGCCACTAATTAAAAACAATGTCTAAGAAACAATACTGAAATGATTACAAATGATAAGCATTAGAATAATTCTGTAAATAGGCCTCAAAATGATCTTCAATAAATTTGTGAATTTCACTCACTTGCTCAAAATTATTATAAAGTATATTAAGATGCCTCAGATCTTCAAAAATCTATGTTAAAGAATAATATAGGTAACAATATAGAATAGGTATATTCAATTTGTTAAGTTTACTAGAAATAAATACTATCCACATAAGCATGTATCATGTGAAGAAAAGAGCTTTTAGTTTCAAATGCCTCATCTGACCATTTAGAAAAACTTTTTTTAAAGTCACTGGTTTATTTATCTGAGGGGGAAAAATACAAAAAATACAAATGTTAGGTAATGAAAGCACTTTGTGTATTAATACTATAGCCCAGTACATGACATTTGTGCACTCGGGAGGGTGCCTTGGCCCAGGCTGCGCCCTCTCAGACATCCTTAGCGCTGCTGTGGAGGCGGGAGGATCCCGCCACTGCCACTGCACTCACCAGCAGTGAGTTTGGCTTCTGGCTGAGCAGCACTTCCCCTGTAGGAGTGCAATGACCACCCGGGGACAGCTCCTGCACTGAGTGTCTGCTCCCCAATGGTCAGTGTTCATCACAGTGACCGTTCGGTCTATTTGCATATTAGCCTTTTATTATATAGGATGTGACAACTAGTTACTATATTTTTATATACCGTATTTTCTGTATTTTCCGGCGTATAAGACGACCCCCTAATTTTACAGTTAAAACATAGGTTTAGGCCTATATTCGCTGTATAAGACTACCCCCCACTTCCGAGGCAACACTAGTTCTTTTTTTAATAGACCGCCTCTCTGACTCTGGTCAATCTGAGCAGGCTTTTTACTAGAACACAGTGTAGCTTCGGGTACAGAACATGTATAATTTGCATGCATAAAAAGCCTGCTCGGATTGGCAACTGGTGTTGCCTCGGAAGTGGGGGGTAGTCTTATACAGCGAATATAGGCCTAAACCTATGTTTTAACTGTAAAATTAGGGGGTCGTCTTATACGCCCAGTCGTCTTATAAGCCGGAAATATACGGTACATTTGGGTCCCCAAACCAAGTATTTTAAAATCCATTTGTTAAGCCTAGCTGGTGTGGTTCAGTGGTTGAATGTCAACTCATAAACCAGGATGTCATGGTTCAATTCCCAGTCAGGGCACACACCTGGTTATGGGTTTGATCCCCAGTAGGAGGAGTGCAGGAGACAGCCAACCAATCAGTCTCTCTCATCATTGATGTCCTCTCTCTTTCTCTCCCTTCCTATCTCTGAAATCAATAAAAACATTTTTAATCCATTTGTTGATAAATCATACTTCTTTCATTTTAATAAAGAAATCCTATATAATAAAAGCCTAATATGCAAATTGTCCCTTCAACTGGAAATTTGACCAGGAGACAAAGCTGGCTGGCCAACCGCCTGCAGCCCCTCACCCCGGCCCGGCCCCAATTGGGGAGGGCCAGCCAGACCCCACCCATGTACAAATCCATGCACCGGGCCTCTAGTTTTACATATAATTTCTTTCAGTGTGAGTGCTCAAACCAACATTTGAGGCTTTGTCATTAGGGTTGAAATTGAGCTAATATCCTACATCTATGAATTAACACTGAAGAGAACACTAATATATAAACAAATACACATGGATATATATTGTAACAGTGTCTAACAGCAAAACATTAGAAAATAACTGATCAATAGCGAACTAGTAAAATAAGTGATAGTCCATTCATACTTAGGAATATTATGTAGCTATATAAGGGAGGTTAGACCTGTATCTACTCAGCTAAAAAGATAACTGTTATAAAGTTGTGGAAGAAAACATTTTCTTCCTTTTTTTAAAGGAAGAAAATCCCCGTGTAGGTCCTATGTGAGCATCATAATAAAACAAAACTATCTTTTAAAGTTAAATTTAAGAATAAATTTTCAAACTCTACTTCAAACAAAGTTAAGAGCTGCTAAGAATGGCCCATGAGCATTTCAGGGGCAATAGTGATAGTATCATCAATCAAACTGGAGAAAGTAAAGAAAATGAAAGACTAGAAAAACAGAAATATCTAAAAAGAAACAAAAAGGGCCAAAACCAGTTTGGTTCAGTGGATAGTGTGTCGGTCTGCGGACTGAAAGGTCCCAGGTTCAATTCCGGTCAAGGGCATGTACATTGGTTGCGGGCACATCCCCAATAGGGGATGTGCAGAAGGCAGCTGGTCGATGTTTCTCTCTGATTGACGTTTCTAGCTCTCTCTCCCTCTCCCTTCCTCTCTGTGAAAACCAATAAAATATATATATTTTTAAATAAAAATAAAATAAAAACAAAAAGGGAACTAGAGGAAGGAGTTCTAGGATAGGAGAGAAAGAAAAAGATGAGAGAGAAGAAAGAAGAAAAGAAAACAAGTGAGACCTTTTTAAAACTGCATTTCTGCTTAGCTACTAAACAAAATATACTTTAGAAAATACTTCCAAACCTACACTGTAACGGGTTGCTTCCATTTGGGACTGTTTGTATTGTTACATTTTTCTGTCTTCTTTGACTGTCCATCTACTGTAACTTCCACGTAAGGACTTGGTCCAAACCAATTCTTTTTATTTTCTTTAAGTTTTGCTGAAATGACTAAAAGAAAAGAAAAAATATTTCAATATTTGAGTTGATAGTTCATCTTCAAAACACTTTAATTTCATAAAGGTTATTTAAGCATTATTACTTTTACTCAGAGGAGCAGGTTTACTCTAAAATATTTACTAATTTTATTCACTCATGAATATTTTCTCCCATCCTAGTAAATTAATATAGGACTTCCCCACATCATCCACCCAAACTCCCATCAGTATCACTGGTATAGTAGCCCACTATTATTATCAATCATCTCAGAACTCTGAGGTCAATTAAATAGTACACTGACAGACAGCCCGGCCAGTGTCATTCAGTGGTAGAGCATTGACCTATAAACCCAGAAGGTCATAGGCCTAGATTTCGGCTTGGGGGCAGGCAGGATGCAGCAGATCACTGATTCTCTCCTCATCATTGATGTTTCTGTCTGTCTCTCCCTGTTTCTCCCCTCTGCGGAAAAAAAAATTTTAAAGCAAAAACTTTACCCCCAAAAAAGTATACTGATAAACTTGGTCAACAAATACTTGGTCTACCATGTGTCAGATATTGCTCTAAACTGTGGATAGAACAATTTAAAATAGAAGAGACATTGGCTCTCAAGAAATTAGATCCTAGTTAGAGAAAAATCTTTGTGACGAAAAACAAACTAATGTGCCAGAATGACTTGATAGTAAGGAAGACTAAGGAGGAAGTACTTTTACAAAGCATCTAAATGGCAAGGAGCTAGTCATGTGAAGACTAGAGTTGTAAATAGACATATCCAAAGAAAAGTACAGCAAGTGGGAAGAATGGTAAACGAAATCACATTAGGGTATTAAACCAAGATAAGAAATTTGGATTTTATTTAAGCATGCTGGAAAGCTACTGGAAGAAGTGTTATAAACTAAGATTACTTTTAGCATCTCATAGATCTCATATTAGCAAGAGCTTCCTACATTGTGCATATTAACCTTAACCCTTGAGTTTAGTCACTTTTGCCATAAAGTAGCCTTGTCCAAGTTCCTTGGATGGTACACCAAATATATTCCAGTCTAGCAGAGCACCCTATGGTTTCCACAAGTAACAAGTCATTGCTTCTCTATATATGAGGTGATCAGTCAAAATTGGTTTAGCTCAGTGGATAAGAGCGTCGGCCTGTGGACTGAAGGGTCCCAGGTTCGATTCTGGTCAAGGTTCGATACCTTGGTTGCGGGCACATCCCCAGTAGGGGTGTGCAAGAGGCAGCTGATCGATGATTCTCTCTCATCAATGTTTCTAACTCTCCATCCCTCTCTCTTCCTCTCTGTAAAAAATCAATAAATATATATTTTAAAAAGTAAATGAGGTGATCATATCCAAGGAATAACTCTACTCTCTGGATATCTACTCTAGCACATAAGTTTAGAGTAGCGGTCACCAACCGGTGATCCGTAAGCTCCGAAAGGTTGTTGACCACTGGTTTAGAGAATGCCATTGCCCATCAAGGTGAAGGGACCCTTTGTAGATGCTAGCAAAGTCTGCAGAGCAGCTATCCAAGAAGCTCAATGTACAGTCCAAATCATAGACAGTCTGGGCATCCTAACAGGCATAATTCCAGATGGCAGCCCTGAATCTCTTGACTTCACACAAATAATTCTGTGTTTTTGTGTTTCTGTGCCTTTTTGGTAGCATTCAAACTAGCCATAGACTTACTATTCTAATGGTGCATGCACATTCTACAATATTAAGTAGACCTTCATCATTATTTTTAAATGCTTATTATAATAAAGTTCAACCTAATTTGAAATAAATATGCATTACCAAAAAAAAGGCCCAGCCGCAGTGGCTCAATGGTTAAGCATTGACCTATAACCCAGGAAGTCACGGTTTGATTCCCAGTTCGGGCACATGCCCAGGTTGTGGGCTATCCGATCCCCAGTATGAGGGAGGTGGGAAGGTATAGGAGGCAGCTGATCAATGATTCTCTCTCATCAGTGATGTTTCTATCTCTCTTCCTCTCCCTTCCTCTCTGAAACCAATAAAAAAAATAAAATAAACATTAAAAAAAAAAGAAAAGCTGCAAGAGATAATGCTAGAAAACTAGGCAATAAGGAGCCACTGAGTACGTTTAAGTAAAGGAGTATTACTATTCAACAAATTTACTGGGTACCCGTAACACATCAGGTATTATTATGGGCACTGAGGAAACAGATGATCAGATTAACACTCAAACATCATTCTTCTGCTGTGGGAAAAAAAATTAAAGGGAGAGAAAAGTAGGGATAAGAAGCTAATAGAGTCATCTTAATCAAGAAATTGACAGTGATCACCCTGGCCAGTTTACACAGTGGTTACAGTGTTGACCTTCAGACCCACGGGTCTGGATTCAATTCCACCTTGGTTACAAGTTCCCAGCCCTTGTTGGGGTGAGTGCAGGAGGCAGCCAAATGATACGTTTCTCTCACATAAATGTTTCTTTCTCTCCCTCCTCCCTCCTTTCCACTCTCTCTCTAGAAACCAATGCAAAAAAATATCTTCTGTTGAAACCAGTTTGGCTCAGTAGATAGAGTGATGGCCTGTGGACTGAAAGGTCCTTGGTTTTCTATTCCTGTCAAGAGCATGTACCTTGATTGCGGGCACATCCCCAGTAGGGGGTGGGCAAGAGGCAGCTGATTGAAGATTCTTTCTCATCAATGTTTCTAACTCTCCCTCTCTCTTCCTCTCTGTAAAAAAATCAATATATTTAGCCAAAACTGGTTTGGCTCAGTGGATGGAGCGTCGGTCTGCGGACTGAAAGGTCCCAGGTTCGATTCCAGTCAGGGGCACGTATATTGGTTGCGAGCAAATCCCCGGTGGGGAGTGTGTAGGAGGCAGCTGGTTGATGATTCTCTCTCATCGATGTTTCTAACTCTCTATCCCTCTCCCTTCCTCTCTGTAAAAATCAATAAAATATATATATATATTTTTTAAAAATCAATATACTAAAAAAAAAAAGGAAAAGAAATATCCTCTGGGGGGGATTTAAAAAAAAAAATTTGAGAGTGGTTTCGACTAGGGTGGTGAACATGGATATGGGGAAAATAACTATTTCTTATTGAGAACCAATAGGATTAGATTGCATGTGGAAGTTGGGAAAAGAAGCAAGAAGGATAATTCCCAGGTCTCTAGCATGAATAGCTGGATAGATGGTATCATTTAATAATATGGAAAAGAACATAATTGAGGAGAGTGAAATGGGCCAGAAATCAAGAGTTTTATAATGAGTGTATAAAATTTGAGATGCTTATGGAACACCTAAGGGGAAACACTAAGAAAAAAGTATTTTTCAGAACAGAATATATTCAAGTGGGGACCAGACTCATCTCTGATTAATGTGTACTATAAAGTTCTAGTACCAATACAGAACCAAATTCAATCATAGGATTGCCACAGAAAAATATAAAAATCCTACTTTTAATTCGTTGATAGTCTGAGAAAAGAAGAAAACAAGCCCAAATAATTATGCAAAAATATTATGTCTCTGGGGGCTCTTGTGGTCCTCTGAAACTGATTAAATCTAGAACAAAGAGCAAATGCAGACCTGATAGGAAGAGAATATTCTGCCGCTAATGGCTTTTTAGGGTTCAAACTTTCGAAAGCTATTTTGCCACATAACACCACCCAGTCTCACAAAGTCATTTCAGGAAACTTTAAATGAGTAAATGAAAGAGGAAGAGAAACTAACACCAACTATTAGAATTTACAGTGTGTCTGATGCTTAAATATTGTCATTCTAATACTCATCCTGACTATTCTATGAGGTAGGTGTTATCATCTTAATTTTTAAAATATATTTTATTGATTTCAGAAAGGAAGGGAGAGATAGAAACATCAATGATAAGAGAGAATCATTAATCTTGCATGACCCACACTAAGGATTGAGCCTGCAATTAGGGCATGTCCTGACCGAGAATCGAACCCTGACCTCCTGGTTCACAGATCAATGCTCAACCACTGAGCCACGCTGGCCGGTCATCACCCCACCACTGCTGCTGGCCTCCCTCCGTGGGAGGCCACCAGGCGGCTGATCAGGGGACAGCACTGGCTGCCACTGGTAGCTGCCCCTTCCCCCCCCATTGCCATCCCCTCCCTCTACTGCTGGCATGCACCTTGGCTGGCCTGGCACTGCCTGCTCGCCGGCCCTGCCACCGACCGATTGGTCGTTCTGCTGTTCAGTTGATTTGCATATCACGCTTTTATTATATAGGATTAAGTAATCAGAATGAGGACTAAAACCAGGGACATTAAATCCCCTGAAGAGAATAATTAGTATATACAGATTTGTTGATAAAACTGGAGGCAGGGGCTAGATGACCTCCTCAAAAGTTTAACTGTAGAAGTTCAAATGGCACACTAGTCAAAATATTAAAAGTATTTATGATTCTCTATTATAATTTGTGCATCTATCTGACAAATCATACAAAAAACAATATTTCCTATTAAACTCAAATTTGAACAGCTATATGGTTATTCAGGTTTTGTCCACACATTAATTAGATTCAAGTTATAGAAGGTGTTACTAAAGTACTGGGTACTATACTATCTTATTTTATGTAAATGCCAAAAAGGAAAGGTGTGGCTGCCTTTTGTTTGATACTCCTAAAAGAACATAGGGAAATTAAAATTCATTCAAGTTCTCTAAACCAGTGTTTTTCAACCTTTTTTGGGCAAAGGCACACTTGTTTCATGAAAAAAATCACGAGGCACACCACCATTAGAAAATGTTAAAAAATTTAACTCTGTGCCTATATTGACTATATATAAAGTAATTCTCTTGAATAGGAATCAAATAAACACAAAGAAAGTATTTTATAATTACTTTATTATGAAATATTAAGTAAACAAAATAGTGAAAAATTATAAAATTCTTGTCTTGTCTGCACCTACGGCACACCAGGCAACATCTCTAGTGTGCCGCGGAACAGCGGTTGAAAAACGCTGCTCTAAACAATCATTTATCAATAATAGCACTATGAATTATTCTTTTAAATCTCTATTTTGCTACAATCCTGCATAATAAAAGGGTATTATGCAAATTGACCCTAACAGTGGCATGACCGGGAATGACCAGTTACTATGACGCGCACTGACCACCGGGAGGAGCTCAGCTCAGCTCAGCCAAAGCTGGGCTGATGGCTGCGAGCACAGCGGCAGTGGCAGGAGCCTCTCCCACCTCCTCAGCAGCACTAAGAATGTCCGACAGGTGGACATCCCCCGAGGACTCCCAGGCTGCCAAAGGCCCCGGCTGGCAGCTGGAAGGCTCCGACAGACTCTGATCAATGAATGACCAGACCAAGGGACCCTAGCCGTGCACGAATTTCATGCACCAGGCCTCTAGTTATTCATAATAGCCAAAAAGTATAAACAACCTAAACACCAATCAACTGATGAATGGATAAATAAAATGTGGTATGCCCATACATGCAATATTATTTGACAAAAAAAGGAAAAGAAAAAAAAAAAAAGAAGAAATGAAATACCGTATTTTTCAGACCATAAGACGCACTTTTTTCCCCCCAGAAGTGGGGGGAAAAAGTCCCTGCGTCTTATGGTCCAAATATAGCCTACACATATACTTTAAAAAAAAAGTTTTTTTACTTGCCCGGCTCTGTGTGGTCTCTGTGTGCTTGCCCGGCTCTAAAATGGTTCTAAATGCTGCTGTTTACTTTACAGGGTTGATTACATGTGTTTATGACTGTGATGTTGGGTTTTAATGCACAGAAAATATTTTAGGACACTATTTGTTTCAGAATCTTTTTTTCTTCATTTCCCTTCTCTAAAAACTGGTGCGTCTTATGGTCCGGTGCGTCTTATGGTCCGAAAAATACGGTACTAATACATGTTACTCAAGAATGAATTTCCTGAAATAAAAATGTAAATGGTCAGAGCACCAGCCTAAACAGCAAAGGGTTGCAAGTGCACACTGTGCCCCAGCCCATCCGCCCATCAGGGCACATGCAGCCAATCAATGTGTCTCTCTCATATCAATGTTTCTTCCTCTCTCCTCTCCCTCCCACACTCTTTTTGAAAAGCAATGGGGAAAATATCCTTGGGTAAGGATTAACAGCAACAAAAATGTAATTTTTACATATCTACACATTTTGTTCATTCATTAAGCAAATATTAATTCAGCACCTGATATGTAACAGCCACTAAAGATTTTCTTCTCTTAACATTATTTTTTATGTTGGGGGCAGAGGGAGTAAAGTAGTGGGTCTTTTAAAGACTTACCAGTGATCTGAAGTTGTGATTTCATGGTCAGGCTACCCATTGACCCAAGCTGTGATCCACTGTCAGACATACCACCAATAGGACAGCAAACCTGAACATGGCAAAGAAAAAACTTGTAAACATAAAAAATTCCCATTTAAAAAATATGTAAATGGGGCTAACCAGGCCATTTCCACATCCCACTGAATGCAGCAAAATAATCAAAGGTCTTCACATTGCTAAAAATAATTTTCAATTCTAAGTATTCATCTTGCTTAACCTACCAGAAAAATCTGACATGATTAATCACTCCTCCTTCTGAGGTTTACCATCTTTCCTTGAGTTTTGAAGACACATTCTCTAAGTTTATGTCCTACCCTCCCTGATTGCTCCTTAGTCTCCTCTGACAATTCATTCTCTTCTGTCTGCTCTTTTAATGTTGGAGTAACCTAGGACTCAGTTATTGGTTCCCTCTTATCCTGATACTCAGTTCCTCAAAAATATCATCCATTCTGCACAGCAAAAGAAACAAAATGAAAAGGAAGCCCACTGTATTGTAGAACATATTGACAATGATACTTCTGATAAAGGGTTAATTTCCAAAATATATAATGAACTCATAAAACTTAAAAGAAAGACAGACAATTCAATTAAAAATAGACAAAGGACCTAAATAGACACTTTTCCAAAGAGGGCATGCAGAAGGCCAAGACATATGAAAAAAATCACTGATCATCAGAGAAATAGAAATTAAAACGACAATGAGGTATCACCTCACACCTGTCAGAATGGCTACTATAACAAATCAACAAATGACAAGTACTGGTGAGGATGTGAAGAAAATGAACCCTCCTGCACTGCTGGTGGAAATGCAGACTGGCGCAGCCATTATGGAAAACAGTATGGAGTTTCCTCAAGAATTAAATATGGAGCTGCCATTTGACCCAGTGATCCCACTTTAGGAATATATCCTAAGAAACCTGAAACACCAATCAGAAAGAACGTATGTACCCTATGTACATAGCAGCACAATTTACAATAATTAAAACCTGGAAACAGCCCAAGTGCCCGTCAGTAGATGAGTAGATAAAAAAAGCTGTGGTATACTTATACTATAGAATACTATGCAGCAGTAAAAAAGAATCTGTTATCCTTTGAGATAGCATGTAGGGACCTGCAGAGTATCATATTAAGTGAAATAAGTCAGTCAGAGAAAGACCAGTATCACATGATCACACTCATAATGGAATATAAGTAACAAAATAAACTGATAAACGCAGAATCACGAGTGGGGGTAGGGTGGAGGGGGGAAGAGATAAACCAAAGAACTTGTATGTATATATGCATAATCCATAGACAATAGATAGTGAAGGCCTGGGGAAGGGGACAGGGTGGGTTACAAGAAGGAAAAAACAATGGAGGAAAAAAGGGTACATATGCTATACTTTCAATAATAAAGATTTACATAATTAAAAAAATAAAAAATATATCATCCAGTGGTATGGCTTTACATATCTATATACCAGAGAGTTCCAACTTTATATTTCTACTAGAGACCCAGTATATGAAATTCATGCACTCAGGGGGGTAGAGGGAGTGTCCCTCAGCCCAGCCTGCACCCTCTTGCAGTTCGGGAGCCGACAGTCGGACATCCTTAGCACTGCTGCAGAGGCGAGAGAGGCCCTTAAATACAAATCTACTTTTTTCCTTTTCTTAACTATCTCAGTGCAAGCCACAAACATCCTTGCTATGTCAACAAATTACTACAAGTCATTAAAACTGGTCTCCCTACCTTTCCACTTGCTCCCAACTCCACCTCCCTCCCTCTCTCTCCCTTCATCCATTTTCCACATAGCAACTATGGTACTTTTTAAAAAATGAAGTTAGAATAGACACTTTTTGAAAGTGGACATACAGAAGGCCAAGAGACATATGAAAACATACTCAAAGTCACTAATCATCCAAGAGATGCAAATCAAAACAACAATGAGGTATCATCTCACACCTGTTAGAGAATGGCTATCAGCAAATCAACAAATGACAAGTGCTAGTGAGGATGTGGAGAAAAAGGAACCCTCACACACTGCTGGTAAGAATGCAGAATGATGCAGCCATTGTGGAGAACAGTATGGAGTTTCCTTAAAAATTTAAAAATGGAACTCCCTGGGACCCTTTCCCCCCTCCCTACGTAGGAGTCAGTTCTGTGGGACTCTTCCCCCTCCCGACGCGGGAGTCTGTACTTGTTCTTCAATAAATCTCCATCTTTGCTATAAAAAAAAATAGAACTCCCACTTGACCCAATAATCCAACTTCTAGGAAGATAGGCCAGGAAATCAGAAACACTAATCAGAAATAATACCATATGCATCCCTATGTTCATAGCAGCACAATCCTATATAATAAAAGCGTAATATGCTAAATGTCTGACTGATCAGTTGAGCATTTGGTCGACGGCTCAATCAGTTGCTATGACACTCCTGCAGTTTCTCTGGGTCAGAAATTTGGGAACAGTCTTGGTTGAGCTGCTTTGGGTTAGGATCTCGATTTTATTTTATTTTTTCGTGTGTGTGTGTGTGTGTTGAGTGTATGTAATTGATTTCAGAGAGGAATGGAGAGGAGAGATATAGAAACATCAATGATGAGAGGGAATTATTGGTCAGCTGTCTCCTGCATGCCCCCTAATGGAGATCGAGCTCGCAACCCGGGCATGTGCCTTGACCAGAATCAAACCCAGGACCCTTCAGTCTGCAGGCCAATGCTCTATCCACTGAGCCAAACCAGGTATGGCTATATATTTATTTTATACTTTAATTTTTTTAATTTATTGATTTGAGAGAGAGAAATCAATTTGTTGTTCCCTTTATTAATGTATTCGTTGGCTGATTTTTAAAAAATAAATTTTATTGATTTTTTACAGAGAGGAAGGGAGAGAGAGAGAGAGCAAGCTAGAAACATCGATGAGAGAGAAACATAGACCAGCCGCCTCCTGCATACCCCCTACCGGGGATGTGCCCGCAACCAATGCACATGCCCTTGACCGGAATCGAACCCGGGACCCTTCAGCCCGCAGACCAACGCTCTACCACTGAGCCAAACTGGTTTCGGCCGTTGGCTGATTCTTATATGTACTCTGATTGGGAATTGAACCTATAACCTTGGTGTATCAGGATGATTCTCTAACCAATTGAGTTATCCCTCCAAGGCTAGGGTCTCTTTTTGTTTATTTAAAAAATATATATTTTTATTGATTTGAGAGAGGAAGGGAAAAGGAGAGAGATAAACATCAATGATGATAGAGAATCATCGATAGGGTGCCTCCCACATACACCTCACTTGGGATCAAGCATGCAATTTGGGCACGTGCCCTGACCAGAAATTGAACTGTTCATAGGTTGACGTTCAACCACTGTACCATGCTGGCCGAGCAGCCCCTATATTTTTCATCTGGCTGTACCTGAGTTACATCCTTTTATAATAAATCAGTAATCTAGTAAATAAAATGTTTCTCTGAGTTCTGTGAGCTGCTTTAGTAAATTAATTGAGCCTAAGGAGGGGTTTGTTGAAACTTCCAATTTATAGCTGGTTGGTCAGAAGCCAGCGGCCATTACTGCGGGACTCAGAAACCAGACCCTCGTAGGGAGGGGCTGAATAAAGCTTGTCTGCACCACCCCGAGACTCCGCCCCATCCAAGCGGAGCACAGAAGCCCTTCCAGTGGCTAGCTTTCTAGTTCCCTGCAAATATGACTCTCCTAGGGAGGGACAGATAGGAATTCAAACCTTGTCTGCGCCTATATCAAAGAGGTCTGCACGCTTGCAACCAATCTTGTGGGATTCACCAAAGCTTGTATGTGCCACTTTGAGACTCCGCCCCAACCAAGCAGAATACAGAAACCCTCCTAGCTGACATTTCTAATCCTCATAGCCAATTGGCTTGGAGATCAACGCTTCCCAGTGATACCAACAACAAGCAAGGCTTAACAACAAGACTGCACACACAGCCCACAAAGGGCTACACCAAGACTGTCCATCTCAGGTAACTGGGAGGCTGACTAACTGAACCATATAGGACACCTTAGCACACAAAGCCACCCTACCAACTTAGGCAAGCTGTAAAAATGCCGAGAAAAGGAAACAGATCACAAACAAAAGAAATGGAGGACAAGAAGCAACTGGATATAGAGTTCAAAACCACGCTTATAAGGTTTTTCAAGAATTTCCTAGAAAAGGCCAATAAAATAAATGAGACCTATGAGGATATGAAAAGGGATCAACTAGAAATAAAGAATACATTGTCTGAAATAAAAAATATTAAACAGAATGGGAGATTGCAAGAATCAAGTCAAAGATTTGGAACACAAAGAGCCAGAAGACACTCCTCCACAGAAGCAAGATGATAAGAGAATCCAGAAAGTAGAAGATAGTGTAAGAAACCTCTGGGACAATTTCAAACGAACCAACATCAGAATTATGGGGGTCCCAGAAGAAGAGAGAGAGCAAGATACCAAAAGAATACTGGAAAAAATAGTGACAGAAAACTTCCCCCACCTGGTGAAAGAAATAGACTTACAAGTCCAGGAAGCTCACAGAACTCCAAAGAAAAGGAATCCAAAGAGGACCACACCAAGACACATCATAATTAAAATTCCAAGAGCAAAAGACAAAGAGAAAATATTAAAAGCAGCAAAAGCAAAGCAGGCAGTTTCCTATAAAGGGGCACCCATACGATTGTCAGCTGATTTCTCAACAGAAACCATGCAGGCCAGATGGGAATGGCAAGAAATATTCAAGGTGATGAATAGCAAGAACCTACAGCCAAAAATACTCTACCCAGCAAAGCTATCACTCAGAATAAAAAAAAGCTAAAGGAGTTTATCACCATCAAACCAGAATTATATGGATTGCTGAAAGAGGTTCTTTAGGAAGAGGAAGAAGATATAGATAAAAATTATGATCAACAAATATGTAACTATCAACAAGTGAAACTAATAAAAAGCCAAGGGAATTTAAAAACCTGATGAACAATATTAACTGGTGAATAGAATCAGAGGTATGGAAGGGGAGTGGACTGACCATTCTCGGGGAAAAGGGGAGTGGGAGGTGCGGGAAGAGCCT